TTAAATCGATCAATTCTGTGGAACCTTTGGATTTTGCATCATTCCTAGTTTTCATTGAGAATGAAACATTTTTAAAAATATCACTTCTTTCACGCAAAGTCCTTATTAATTTGCTCACCAGGTCTAAAGTCTCTGCGATAACATTTCCAAGTTCCGATAAGTGGTTCGTGTCTGTGCAGTTTCAGACTATTACAGGAAGTCTGTTAGACAGGACTAAATCAGATTAGAGGTATGATAATATTTTGAAGAAGTTGATCTCATATTCAGAAACAAAAAATTCAATTGTGTTCATTGTTCATGTACAAAAGATTAAACAAAGAAGTGTTATCCACATCAGCACCCTGTAAAAAATGAGAGTTTGAAAGCTGTGAACAATGGATTTTTAAATCCAATTTTTCCTTGGATCATAAAAAAAGAATATTTCCGGATGTATGCGCTATAAATTTGTTTTTTCAATCGTTAGGAAGTTTCCTTCCAATTATAGCCATTCCACGAGCCGTGAGCGACCCCCGCTGGCCCTTGATTTATGTAAATCGCCGGCCTTTGTTCAACGGACACCCATTAAACGGAAACTAATTTACAAATCCGAAAGCTTGTCACGAAGGATTTCTTTCTGCAAAGACTCGTTGGAAAAAAGTGAATGGATCCTGCCCACGGTTTGACTCATCTTTATGATATTTCTGGCAGTTCCTCAATCAATGCAAGTGGGTTTTGCCGGAGTTGCGACATGATCACATGCCTTTTCCTACGTCGGTGACTTAACATGTAGACAGCTTAACGAAGGTTCATTAAATCAGTACAGTTTCCCTGCAAAAGTTGCTACCTATGTAAGAATCAAATCATCTAAAAGAAAAGTAAATCTAGGGCGTCTTTTTGTGACGATTAGGACAAGGTGAAAGTTTATTGAACCTCTTGTATACGTCTGATGACCAACCACTTAAAATATGTAGTTTTGCCGCTAGTATACTTTTAGTCTGCTTATCTTTAATCTGTAATAAATAGTGAGTAGCTCTTGAGCACATTTCACATTTGAGCAAATTCTCTTAGTATGTCGAGTCGGTGACTTGCCTCACCCTGTTTATACCCTGGCTAACGGCTTAATTGTAGTGCCAAAACAATCGGACAGACCAAAATGATCGGAAATGACCAAACTACAAGTTCATCACCCCGCAGACCTCATGAAGAAATCTGATAATTCACCTATTTTGTTGCCCAAAAACTCACAAATAGTTAGGCACAATTACAACAACGTAAAGAGCAGTTTGAGAATCATCTATTTAGTAAAGATGTAAACTTGGTGATAAGTCTCTGCTTCAGAACTTTCTTCGGGAAAATTTGTTCTTTTCGTCGTGACTAACTTAAGTACCATAAAAACTCAGAACAATAGCTTAAGTAAGATAAGAGGATAAACCGTAATCTTCCTTATGGGAGTTACTGACCATAAAAACACAACACTCAGGGAGGTATTCTAATTATTCAACTATTAGTTAGTTTTACATGAGTCACATTTCACAAAGAAAAACTAATTGTAAGACAAAGTCACTGAACTCCGTGCTTACCAAGAAAGTGCTTTTTGTAGTGGTTGAGGTTGAACTGAAGATGACTAGTGACTGATTTCAGGGGTAGCACTTAATATTTAATGCAATCGGTCAATTGAGATGAGTGTTTACTTTCTCTGTCGTTCAATATTGTAGATCTTATCCGTCTTTTTTTAGTACTCTGTACGGTCCTTCACTACCCTGGTTGTGAGGCATCTATCCAAACAGACATGAGAAGAAGAGATGAATGAACAAAATTTTTTCCCTGTTTTTTTCTTTTTCTCATAAACTGGATGCAAGCTCTGGAGAGTACTGCGCAGGCGGTTGAGATAAGTTGGTATATCGTTTACCGTTGGCCAAAAAAATTATGAAAATGGCGAGTGTCCATTGGTTTAGCAGTTATGTCTTGGTATTGCTTCCGGCCAAGAGCTGAAGCGATCTATGTAGGTAAAGCAATATCAGAACTCCCTTGGTGGAGGTAGTGAACCTTTAAGATCCATATGGGCCTGCTCAAATCTGCGTCAAATCAGTTCCCAAAAGGGCTTTGAACGTGACGTTTTTTGCTCGTTGACATTTAAGGGATTCCTTGGCCCATTGATCTCTTTATCTCTCTCTTTATCGACTGCTAGTCATAAGAATCGTTCTATGAGTAGTTTAAGGTCCGCTTCGGATTTTAGATTTGCTGCAGTTTTGTGTGAGTTGAACCGTCCGCCGGTAATTGTTTAGAATGAACGTGTGATTGTGTTCATCATATTGCAACCAAGACCTAGTACAGATTTCTTTGAAAGTTTGAAAGACTTCGTATCTATCATAAAAAATTATCCGTCACTTTTTTAATTGAAGCTGGCAATATACTTTATCAGGCCAGCACAGAGACTTAACTGTATCGAACAATATTTGGCGATCAAACAGAGATCAAATAAACTTCAATAGACTTACCATTTTCGGTCTAGGTCTATCATTTAATGTAGAATTTATTGTTGTAGCATGTCGATGTCCCCATATTCAGTTTTGGGTTTGCATCAATGTATGAAACCATTGCAGAGCAAGAAGCCAGACAAATCAATCCACTGATGCAGATCAAAATGATAGGAAACGACCATCACCCCTGCAGAATAAAGAAATCTCACAACATAATTGTGCCATTGGCTTTTTGTAGTTTTAGTTTGGTGGTTTCCAAATATGTGGGCCTGCCTAACTTCGCTGTTTTGGTCTATCAGACGGCGTTTCGTCTTCTTGCCATCTTTATTCGTGTCTCCGTTACTGTAATATAATACTTTTTAGTTGTTTAGCTTTGTTTTAAATTAGGGAACTTTAGAAAGAATTGTATTACTAGTATTCTTTTATTTATTTGTATGAGTCATTTGCAAAAGTTTTATCATGTCTATTATGTCTTTATCAATTTAAGAATATAATAAGCGTTTTATTCATCATTCAACAACAGCTCATTTTTTTTCTCCTACAAATGTCAGATTTTTTGGTGGTCTACTGGGACATCTTAATAGCCTTCCCCCTTAGTAGGAAATTCATTATAAAATGATGTCATTTTAATTTTAAATGGATTACGACATCCTTTATCCTGGAACTGTTTTTATGTTTTGCAAGGATTGAATATGTGTGGCATCAATAGGGATTGCGACACACCATCAACCTAGATCGTAATAGCAAGGACGCCGTGTTCTTAAGCGAAGAGGACGAAGAACGGATCGGCTTGAAGAATTCGAAGAAATCCTCGATGTAAAACGTGATCCGCGAAACGTCTGCGGTTTTTGAATGAGCTTTTGTTCAATTGAGCCTTATCAGCCCGACGCCGGCGAACCGTAAAACGACGCACATCCTACAAGCGATTAAAATCGGGGAGATATGCATTTTTTCTTCTTCTTCGGCGAGCTTCCGATGTAAAAAAAAAGTTGAAAATTTTGCAAACAATTTGTAAAAAAAGTAATTAAAAATGTACTATATACTAAAAATGTACTATGCGTTTATGTATTTAAAATGAATATAATTACAATTAAATTACCCCGAGTTTTTTAATAACATAATGACCCAAATAAATAGCATTTTCGGCTAGTAAAACCTTTTTTACGAAAAAAAATCGCATTTGCAAAAACTAAATTCCCTTTTTATCTATTTATTAATTTTTAAAGTGGATATGAGATTATATAAATTAGTACATTTGGTCCAAATATGTTCGGATATAGCACTTGAATATACGATACAATTTATATTATCCCTGTTAATTAATTGTAACTGTAACTTAATAATTTAAAATTAAGGAATCCTACTAACATTAAGTATTCACAACCTAAAAGTACACTTACATTACATTATTTTCCTCAAATGGCTTAACAGGATTCCTTATGTATTAAAAAATGAATTTAAACAAAATTGCAGTTAAAATCAAATCTTGGCTCTTTAGCGTCAGTGGTGAATCTGTTTTAACCTAAAGTAGCCATTTAATTATTCAATTTGACTCACCCCCCATTTGTCGTACCTATAAACTAACGCATTTTTTGTAAATTTTCATTTTATATGACAAGTTATTATATATTTAAAGACTAAATTTACAATGAACTCCCCTCAACACATTGCCTTCAATAAAAAAATTTTCTAAGATTTTTGATGGTACCCCTTAAACAGACATTTCTCTATGGTACATATACTATCATTTTTATGTTGTATTGAGGCATGATTTTCTTTTTCTTTATGTAATTACTTTATTATCTGTATTGTTGTAATTAGTTTAAATAAAAATAACAGAAAAGAAAAAACACTCAATTTGTCATAACTTTAAAGGCAAAGGCAACTTATCTTTTTTGTTGGTGTTTACTCAGCTGTGTTGTTTATATGGTGTGCAAGTGCTGATAGTTCTAGTTAAATATACAAAAAGAGTTTTTTTTTTATTCTAAAGTTAATAATTAAGCCATTTTTTAAGCTTAAATTTCTAAAATAAAGAATAACAAAATAGGCAAATTCAAATACCAAGTCTCTAAACAACTTTCCCATTTATGAACAATTGCTATAAAAATCGTCAAATATTTTTTCATCTCTATCAATCTCTGAAATATTCGTCTTTAGTACAAGCTTTGCTTTTTGACAGCGGCAGGAATATGCAAAAGTATTTTTTCCCCTTATCTATATGTATGTTTATTTTTATTTTGTTTATTCATGCCAAAAAAGATTTATTATTATTATAAATATTACCAAAAATAAATCAGGTAAAGACACAACTCTGTTGTAGAATTATTAGATCAGAGCAAAAACACACCTAAAATCAACATCAAATTGAAACTACTAATATCAATAAGTTATTTTTATGATTTAGAGAAAGGGTTGAGAATTGAAATCTTTTCAACAATTCAATCATTACCAATTTCTCAAATCATACCAATGACAGGAAGAATTATACATGACCTTTTGTGGTTTAAACTCAACCAATTTTCTTGTTTCTCTTTCTTCTAGAATGAAAGAACGACTTGCGACATTCTTAGTACTGCTCTCCTTAGCTGCATTCGCCTATTCATTGCCACCGCGGAAAGATAGGCCGTTCTACGTCGACTGCTTGACATCTAGAGAATGTGGAAAAGGACAATGTTGTACAATCGGTAAGATAATTTTTTAATATGATTCTACTTTTGTATATTTTTGTATATTTAAATGGGTCTTTTTCTTACACAACAGTATTGAAACATATAGGCAGTAAAGTTTTTAAATCATTAATATTTAAAAAGCTCCCACTCCTCAAGAGTTCAATTGTTTCTAAACATAGCTTTGGTTTTTTTACCTTACCTTTTCCCACTGATTATTTAGTACCAACGAGTACACCTGAGTAATCAGGAAGGTAAGTAATATATCTTAAATTTCACAATTTTCACATTGGTGAATTTTAACAGCATTAAATCACATTGGTATTGGATGCGCCTATGCACATTGCACTGATGACTCATTGTTCAACAAACAAAATTATTAAATTCACTAATTTCGTGGTCCGCTTGAGCAATTAATACATTACAATTAATTAAGGTTTTTAGTTGAGATGGAAAAATTCGAATCCTGCACGTGCCATTAACTTTTTTTAATCTCAACTAAAAACCTTAATTAATTTAAACAAAATTATATTTGAAAAAATTATCCAACCATTAGAATTAATTTAAAAACAATGATTGTAATAAAAATTTTAAAATTTAATTTTATCTAATGAAATATTACATCAAAACTGAGAAATTTAATTTTTAAGCATGCCTAATTTCCTTAGTTTGCTATTCGCCTAAAATGATTTGTTTTCCACTAATAAATTGAAAAAATCAGAATTGTTTATCTTATTTTTATAACATTAACAAAATATTTTTGTTTTCTTGTATGATTTGTATTTTCACAAAATCTTGCTTTATTTTATTATGATTGTTCCATCAAAAATATGATATTTTTGCATGACGAAGTTTGTTGTTTGTTTTCTCTTGCTTGATACTTGACCAAGTACACACATCAATTTTTTTTACCTTTTTTAAAATTATTCCCTTAGTAAATATTTATCTTGTTCTTCAGGTACCGGGAGGTTCTCGATGCCAGCCTGCCGCAACTACCTGGACAAGGGAGAGTCCTGCAACCACGGGCAACCTGTCTCTACAAATCTAACGTATCCGGACGGTTTTCACGTCATGTATGAAAACATCTACTACAATTTTTGCCCGTGTGCTTCCAACCTGAGATGCAGCGAGACCACGGCCACTTGCGAGGATCCAACCGATACTGATTTTAACGTGATAGATTGAAGTGTTAAATTATTTGTGTTTTAAAACAGTAAATAACTGTGATAAATAATGGTACTTATTGACTTTTGACCTTTCTTAAATGTAAATAAGGTTATATTTGTAACAAACCTTATTTAAATATGTACTTCATTATTTTTTTTTTGTAAATATATCTTTTTTAAAACTACTGTTCCATTATATTTTCCCATTCTTTGAAATCTAAGTAAATTATATTGTTACCGATTATAATATATATATACATTACAATATGAGGAATCATGGTGGCTGAATGGTTCCGACATCCAAATCATAATTGACACACTAGCGGTCCTGGGTTCGAATTGAATTTTAATTGTGAATAAAGTGATTTGAACCTTTACACATGACACCCAACAGATAGTTTGATGTTAAGCCCTCCCGTATGACAGGAATTACTTTACTTTATAAACAGTACAATATAGGAGTCTATTTATTAAAGAAAAATTTAAAATTTTAGTTTAAAAACCAAGTGTTTTAACTCTAATACTTGTGATGATTATAATAATAGTCATTAATGAATATATTCATTTCACAAAAGTACATGATGCTCTTCTCATATTAATAAACTTCTAAAGGGTGCCAGTAAAAAATAAATAAATAATTTTTTTTAAATTTATAAGTATGTTGCCGTTCCATTCAAACCCAGGAACTTTACCTTACAGTGATGAGCACAGTGTCAAAGCCTTAACCGCTGTGGCCACCAACGACCATTATTTATTTTACATAAATCTTGTTTATTTGTCATGTCCAATCTTGATTTTTGTCCAACTTCACAATATCTTGATTCATATTTCAAATATGCTGATATATGAAAGCTATTAATTAAAACAACATAATACAACATAAATAATAGATAATAATAATTAGAGTAAAATTATTTACCTTGAAAAACCAACCTTTTGCTTCTGTGCAGAAGTTTTTTGTTTTTTAATTGATGGATTTTATTTTTCATGTTACAGGTATGGAAAGGTACTCCTCTCCTCATTGTCAAAGCCTTCAAAAGTTGGGTGAAATGTGCAGGCCCGTTAATGACTTAATTACGTCTGCCAACCTGACTTATCCAGACGGTGCAAAGGTTGCAATTAACAACGTCTACAGGATCTTATGTCCTTGCAAGGATCGTTTCACTTGTAGTTCTACATCTGGTACCTGTGAGCTTCGACACTGATTTAAATTAATAAATGTAGAAGAAAAAAGAAACAACAAGTTTAATTTGTAAATTTATTAATGAAATTGTATTTTGTTGTACAAAATTGAACCCACAAGTTTATATAAAACGATAAAAGTGTTTTTTTGTTTTTTTTTTGTGATGTAATAAATAAGTTTTTTTTATACAATTGTTTTGTTATAGGAAAATTTACATTTATTTATATCACTCATGTTGTGCCTCTCAGACCGGATAAAAAGTAATTTCTTCATATTCTAAAACAAAGAAGCATTTTTTTTAACAAAATAAAGATCACCTCAACATTTTGAATAAAATTAATATTCCGAATTTCTAGAATGTTGGTCATGCTCTTATACAGAAAAACTGTAAAAATCAAATTTCTGCCAAAATATGATTTATTTTAAAAATCCCATTAATGATATGAATTCAAGAGTTGAGACTGCACTTACAGGCTTTTTAAGGGATTTTCTTATGTTCAATATTATTACACAGTCCTTGGACACTGTCCCACGTGAGACCATCTCCAAAGGGTTTATGTGCTGAAGGAAATATCACATGAAGCCAGCTCCTGAAGGGAAAACAATTAATAAGACAATACAACAATTTTAACAATCAAGAACTCACTTTCCATTTCCAATCCCAAAGAAAATCTTCCAATTGTCTACTGGTCCATAATTGTAAGGATTGATATATTCCTGGGAAATATTTGCAATTATTATATACATTGGAATTGTAAACATTTTTAGTGTACCTTATGAATTTTTGCAAGCCGCTGTGTTTCAGCCTTATTAATATGGGCTTCGATGCTTGTTTCACCCTTTCCAATTTGTTTGGCATGCCACGATGAAAGCCATGTCAATGCCACAAAAGCACCTAAAAAAATATAAATCATAAATTTGAGTTCATCATTTCCTATAGCTTTATAAATAAATAATATTTACCACTGCAAATGAACGCCATGAATGTAATGGCCCTTCTTTTCCAGTAGACGTCAGCAGGCAGTTCTATTATTGGTATTTCACTCTTGTTCTCATTGTCCCATTCTGGCTGCAGTGCAAAATCCAACATAGATTAATTTTGGCCTAAATCAGTCATGTTTGTTCAAAACATCTTGAAGCTTTTGTGCCGACTGGCCAAAAACGTGGTAAGTACTCACCACGGCAATTATTTCAGAATCATTCATCCGTACGGGGTGGCCATATGGTTCCTCCTCTCTTGTATTTTGGAGCCATACTTCATTATAGGCGATCTCGATCCCAAAAGCCATTATGAAAAATGTGCTCAATGATATGAAGACCATGTACATAAAAAAATACCTGTGATTGTAATGGCCCACACAGTTATTGAGCCAAGCTTTTTAACCAGTTCAGGAAAAGAGTTATGATGGTGTTTTGAAAAATTAGCACTTTAAATATAAAAAACATACTTTATCAAATCTCTAATTGGACTAATAAAACATAAATGATCTTTTCTTTTGTTTGGTTATTTGATAATTAATTGTCTGGCGAAAATTCCCAACATACTGAAAGTATTTTTACCTTTAATTTTCTGTCAACTCTTTACTAACTAAACTGCTTAAATTAAGTCTGCAAATTTCAATTGATTTTAACTGAAATTAAAATTTATTAGTTGATATATATGTATGAATTTGCTTCAAAATGAGCCAAATATTGACCTAGGGTTTGATTAATGGTAAATAAAAATATTTGCTTGGTAAAATAAGGATACGACAGTGATGGTCCATTTTTAAAACACATTTGTTACAAACAGAGCAGTGATGGGCTCGAGGGGGCTTTGGTGCTATGCATTTTTTGCAAATACTCACAGCTTCTTCTATCATCGCACCCTGCAAAATGAACAAACCAATGGAAAACTAATTTACAAAAAAACTCAAAAATCTTACTTTCGGTGGGTGCCCTGGATGGGTGACGACACCCATGTAATAATGGAAAAGTGTGTTGATCTTGAGCCAGTTGCCCACTACAACGAGAATGACTGCAAGCTGAGGATTTTTGTTCCACCAGTACGGCAAACCAATATAATAAGCAATTGAAATAACAGCAAACATAATCATGGAAACACAGAACACGAAAAACTACAAACCAAAAAGAATCTTGGTTAAAAACGCACATGGGAAATCATCATCAAACTTCTTACCGGCCCCAAAAACTTTGTGAAGTTGTCCACAAACCAGAAAAGCGGTTCCATACACACATCAGAGACATAGTTTTTGTCTAGGTGGTGGTTGTAGAACAATGAATAGAAGCATAGTTCAAAATTCAAGTAATGCCATTGTAGTCTGTACCTTGTTTAAAGAAAAAAGTAGAATAAGCATTTTTCTCATATTAAAATAACAACTTAATATGACACTTATATATCATGACTTTTGAAATTTTCAGATCTTCAAGGAAACCAACTAAATTTTTACATATTTATTATCAAGTCAAGATAAAATGGAAAAGGCAAATCTTCATTATATTTATTTATATACCAATAGATAAAGCATGAATGGGGCCTCTCAAAGGATGATAAGATGCAACAAATGTGTACTAAACAAATTATAATGGGTGTATGGGGGGTGAATGGGTGTATGTGCTTCAGAATTTATAAAATACTTGTGTTTTGCTTTGAAATATCAAACATACAAACTTATTTAATGAAAACATTATATAATAAAATTACACATGACAGTAAATGACATTTATACGTTTGAGTTTAGCAAACTGTTAAAAAAATTTATTGCAGTTTTTGTTTCACCATAGGAAAAACAATGCATTAGCTAGTTAAACAGACTCTTGGTTTAATTTTCTAGTCAAAACAAATTTCTTGGTAAACAGAAATAATTTAATTCCAATTTTTTTATGTAACAGTATTAATAAAAGAATTGTGTTAAACAAAAAAACATTAAATAAATATATAAGGCTGCAAAATACACTGATGAAAAATGAAAATGTACTTTCCTAAATTGAAAACAAAATATAATAATTTATTGTTTATCTTATTATATAGTAAAGACCAGAAGGAGACAACCAAAAATACAATTTTATAAGAATTTTTATAATACACTTAAAGAAAAAAAACCAGACATGCTGTTTATTACAAACTATATGTATGTATTTTTATTGTTATATTAATTACAACATATTTATTTTAATGTAAAAAATTAATAAAAATTGTAAAAATTTTGATTTTAAAAAAATTATTTAATTATGATGGCTTGCAAGAAAATTCACCAAAACTCCGGAAAATCATTTAGTGATCGATTAAAATTTAACTAACAAGTTATTACCTAGTTTTGCTCTTTATAACGCTTATAGCCTCCTCTGGCCTTGCTTTAAATCTCTGAGGCATTAAGTAAATAAGCAATCGGATTTTGTTTTGTGAAATAGAATCCCTTTCTTCAACAAGTGCAGTTTGAAGCTGTTCAACTGTTGTTGGAGGTGGTGAAAGATGTCTAACCCATCTCTTTATCTTGTTCCATAAGTGTTCTATAGGATTCATATCAGAACGTACTGGCCAATTCATTGTGGTAATCCCAACATCCTCCAAGTAACGGATTACAACTTGAGCAACATGCGGCCAAGCATTATTAAGCATTAACATGAAGTTGCCCCAATAAATGGAGCAAATGGGACCACAGATTCCAGAAAAACCAGAAATGTAACTTCCAGTCAAAGAACCGGTTTGTATGATGATCAGTTTGTTACAAGCATGGACGACTCACGCATGACACATGAAGCAAAGCGTTCTCCACATCTTCTCGACAGATGGTCCTGGTCATCTGAGAACCACAAAATTGGCACTCATCTGTGACGAGAACAGCTCCCTCATCGTTCAAGTGTCCAAGCGAGACTATTCTCATCAATCTGCAAGTAGTCACCCCTCCAGTAGTAGGGAACCTGATGCGGGACATCTAGGGACAAGGAAATTCTCACGAAGCCTCCGATGATTTTTAGAGCTCACCTTTACATTACATCCGTACATTTGGAGCTGACTACTTATCAAGGAAGGAACTTCCTACAAAGAAAAGTTCCTTAGTGCAGTAAGAGCAATAAAACGATTTCTAGCTGTCGTACATCGTGGTCAATCAATACCTTCTCTTCGATTGAGACTTCCAGTAGCCTAAACCGCTTTAGACTGTAGATGGTAGAGCGTGGTATACCCAGAACTTGGGCTAAGTAAAAAATGCTAAGTATATCCTTGGCAAAGCATCTGCCTGGGAGAGATCGTCGTTTTTACTGAATTTATTGTTTCATCAAAGAAAACATTTTAAAAAACCAGATAACTCAACAAGTTGTCTCTGGAAAGTATGAAATAGAATTTTTTTTATCTAAAGAGTGTAAAAGTAATAGTAACACTCTATAAAGGTATACAACAAGTTATTTTTTACATTTGAAATCAACTATTAATCTTTACCTCGTTATCATGGAAAATAAACAAATAAATACAAGTGTCCTTTTTTTTCTTTAAATATGTAATTTGTGCTTTTAAGACATTTACCTCCTGACTATAATGATCTTTCAAGAGGGCTGATGTGTGATGAATAAAAGGACAAAATCAAATTTATACATATTTTAATGTGAATAAATAAACAATCTTTGGCAGATTGTAAAAGTTTTTAAAAATCACTGACTAGCAATTAGAGCAATTTTTATTATGATGAAGAACAACAGATGTCCGATCAACAGATAAACACAAAAAAATTTATAAACAGCGCAATAATCATGATAAGCTTTATTTACAATGACGTTTAATATGTTTTAACGTTAAACAGAAGTGAAACTTGTGTTTTATTGTAATTGGTAAACACCTTGAATCACACTTGTTGTCGATAAACAAACAACACTTCCATAGTAATTTAATAAAAGAACAAAAAGCAAATATTTTTGTTTTAAGAAAAAACGTGAAAAATGTTATCAGTGAATTGATAAGAGGGAAGTTATGAGAAGTTATGCACGCAAAGAAAAATCATAATGCAACAGTGTTTGTGTAAAACATTGAATATTCGTCGTGTAAACATGCGTACGCACAACCATGATCGAATTCCCTGAATCATATTTCTCAATGATCAAATAAATTTGATTTCTTAATAATGTAGCAGTATGGTTAACACTGTCACCTATGTAGCGTTTAAGGGAGAGTGTCAATTGATATAATTATGTGGACTGTTTTGTCTGGACGTTCTTCATAGTTATTTGAATGATTTTTTTTTTTTTTTTTTTTTTAACCCGAATTCAAAGAGAGGAAAGAGTGATAAAGGCTCAAGACGAATTGAAGACTCACTTGACGCGTTTGATGACATCGAGTGGAAGAAGCCATTCCATGGCGGGAGTTATGCTTCGAACCCTTTCATTTCAGTCAGTTTCACGCCGTGCATGAGAAAATCATGATTTCAAATCATGAAACCTAGGCGGAACATAAAGATCCGGACTGTATACAAAAAGGCGACGGGTAGGCAGACGGGCCAGCAAACCTGGTCCCCTGAAGACTTCGGAAGTCAGGGCAAGTTTCCGGAAGGTTTCAAAACATCGCTTATCACCCGTACATTGACTTTGTCCGATAATTTATTTTTTTTAACGATAAATACTCTGGTTTTCTTGGAAATCTCTTCGTTTTCCGAACTAGGATGAAGAGGAAAAATCGAAAAGCCGCTTTTCCTCATCGGCCCTCTTATTTTTGAGTCCTTGGATGCCTTGAGTCGGCATTCACGACGCATCCGTAACCAACGACATCCTTGTAACTTTTTACTAACAATTCAGGTAATTATTGACAAACCCAGGCTGAAAGACAACAATGTACTTATCACCAGTATTATTTATAATATTGTTCAAATATTTCCTTCTTTTGGGTGTATTGTTTAGCAACTGGTTCTACAAAGAATACTATAATGCAAAAGGATTATCTTTTATATCAAAAAAATACCGGTTGCTATCAGTTTATAGTTGCAGACTGTCTTCTTTTAGAGGCAAAAGTTTCAAAATCGATTCTCCCCACAGGCCTGGTTGTCATTGTGACATCCACAATTATTGTAAGTTCTATTTCCAGTCAACGTAAAACTCATAACAGACAAGATATGGTGGTTTGAATGCCAGATAACAATTGAGATAATAAGAATAAAGAAACAATGATTAAATGAAGAAAATTTGTTAAAAGGTTCAATGCTGTCGATCGTATAGGACAACAACTCTTACCATCAAAGCATATCAACATATTCAATGGTTGATTATAAACTTATCAAAGAATATAACAGATAACTTACAGATCTCTTCAAAAAGATTTGTATTTGGATTTGTATAGGCTCAAATCCGCACAAGTTCATACCAACATACAAACAAGTGCTGAGTTGAGCTTATTCACTTCTTGTAGTCCACTGGCAATTCCAGCTTTTGTTATTTTCAGTAAATTGCCGCCAACTCAGAATGGCAGCATGAAGAATCACCCACCCTGGGTGTTGGCAGTCAGGGGTAAGACTTTCTGTCCAGTTGTCCCTCCACTGTGTTTTATGCTGTTGGCAGCTAGGTCAATTCAGCACCCAACGCATGCAGTTTCAACATACTCATGTCCATTCGCTCCTACTATCTTCAATACCATTCATTCAATTAGGGTTGTAGTCGATATTCCACCATCAAACCTCTCACATCACACATTCACACCAATAAGTACATTTATGCTAATAAATGCATTCACTGTCAACACAAACTAGGTACACACTACTATTATTACTATAAACAATAGAATAACCCCGTTTCCTCCAAGAATCGGAACAGGGGGCCCAAATACTTGCTGCTGTGCTCAAGCACAAATTTCAAAAAGAAAAAATCTACAATTCAGAATGTTTTTAAAATTTATTCATTTATTTGTAGCCTATAATGTTAAGAGGAAACCTGCTAGCACTCAGTGTGGAAAGAAGGTCTCGAGGCCATCACTGATTGAAGCAACATGGTGGGGTCTGATGTACATTGTAAGATTAGGATAAGGCTAAAGATGCTTACAACGTAAGTGAAAAGCTTCCCAAATAAATTAATAAGTTGGAACTAAAGCTTCTTGATATTCAACCGTTGATGATGGAGTTCCACCAAAAAAGGACAACAAACCTCGAAAAAATCGGATCAGTTCATTGGCAAAAAGAATGTTGAGGTCATAGTTTATAGTGATGTAATAAGGAGCTTTGACAATTTGTCTGAGGACTTTTAATTGAAAGGATTGGATGTTGGATGGCTTAGCAGTACCACTGTGACTGCATGTTCAAACATGGATTTCAGTCCTAGAAGTTTTTGTAGTCATCCAAGTCTTCTATTAAGTTGTTGCCTTTTCAATCTTGTATGGGGATTTGATGTCAGTTTGTTGTCTAGGTATAGTCCTAAGTCTGGAATGGATGTCAGTCAGGTGATGATGTACAGTGGAAATATTTAAAAGAAGGTTAAACCAAACACACTTGATTGTATAAAAAAATATAATAATACTAATAATAATAATCTGCCTACACTCAGAATTAATGACAGAAAGTGGGTTAAAAAAATTTGATGCAGGCCTTTTTAGTTAATTTGTTGTATTTTATATTTTGTTTTATGACTTCAGATATACAAGAGAAAATAATGATTAAAAAAAGTAGCAAAACAGGCAAAAAATCTGCATATGCAGAACCAATAACAAAAACTTAATTAAGAAAACAAATCTAATGGTTTGTAGGCCCTCCTTTATTTTTTGTTGCCTCTTTTGAATGATTGATCTGCTTCTGCAGGTTAGGTCAAGTAGGGAATTTTAGATTTTTTTCCCTATAATTTGTGCGGTTAGGCGTGATACATTCTAAGTCCCAGCCTTTTCTGAATTATGGAAACTGGGATAAGAGATACTAGGCATGCCACTACTCCAAAATACTGTTCAAGGTCAGGAAATGGTCAGAAAGGAAATGAGTCGAAGGCCAATTCCTACTGGTATACTGACAGTTCAAAAATGGATAAGACAGAAGATCCTTGGAATGAATTCAAAGACTGTACTGACTTTAAATTTAGGTACATACATTACAGTTTTCCAATCTGAAATCAGCAATTGAACACTGCGCTAGAGAATTAAAAATATTGCGAACACATTACAAGAAGACAACCATGACAGTCAGGCAGCAAAAGGTCTTAGCCTCATGCGAGGTACAGGCAAAAGGTTTATGGAATTGTATGAAATCCCTGATAAAAGACAGTTTCTTTCCTATTCTAGTTTTTCCTGTAGATTTGTACTGTAATAGATTTATTTTGGGTTAAATGAATTGCAAGATTGTACAATTGTATTCAATACATTTTATTTTTTAAAAAGGTCTAATGCAACGATCTATTAATTGTATACTGGCTAATAAATATAATAATAAAAATAAATACATTTCAGTTCACTCATTAGTATCATAATTTATCTAGCTGAGTCAACCTCGTAACTTTTAAAGAACTAACTCGAACAACTTGGTCTCTTCGGTCACCTTACATTGGGCTGACTATGTAGCAGGTTGTTGGTCTTGATGTTCGGGTGGCTTTGAAGCTGTAGAGCTTATAAGCATATGTGATCTCAGTGTCAAGGTGTGGGATGTTCAGGTTTCTGTATGTCACATGCATACATATCATGAATCTACATTTAGAGTTCTTTATAGAGACCACAGTGGCCAAGTGGTTAGGGCGTCTGACTCGAAGCTAAGCTATTGGTCCTGGGTTCAAATCCCAACAGAGCCCATGGCCTTTTTAATTGATAATAAAAGAGAAAATCTATTTTTTAGTGGTTTGAACCCTCGTCCATGATGCTCAATGGGTATTTGGATGTTAAGCCTTACTGTAGGACAAGAATTACTTTACTACTTCTTTATTATGGAACCGTAGTATTATGATAGTCTTATTTCTTTTGGTACAACCCCAGAGTGGTATGCCATACATACATATACATAGTAGGGAATTCCTTCTAATGGTGGGTTTTTCCCAATTTAATGTCTAAATATTTTAATGAATTCTAGGTCAATACTACCTTACAATTGAAGACAATTAGTTTGTTTATTAATTTTCTATATGTGAAGTTAACATGTACAGATTTCTGTTTATTTTATTTTTTATTTATTTTTTTTTTTTTTTATTTCAAGCATCTGTCATCGATGCTGTTGATGTTGCATGGAAAGAATGTATTTAAGAATGAGTTTGAGTGTGCTTAAGATAAAAAACTGCATATTTGGGGCCTGAAATGACCTATTTGTTGATAGCCCCAGGGCCAATTTTTGGAGGGCAGAAAGGACATGACCAAGGTCTGAGCCCAGATTGCCAGTAACACAGAGTAGGTGATCTTCACAGCTTGCCACTGTAAATAAAGTTATATATAAACACATTTATACATTCCATGTTATGCTATATTAATGATAATGTTACGTAGTTCAGATGTGTAAGGTATAAACAAAATACAGTCTGGAGATCAACCCGAACCCACAACATACACAACTCTGAAGATGGTGAAATGCCAAAATACCTCTAACAGACTAAAGCAGAGAGGATAGGTTCAGAAACGATCTAACTACAAATTCATCACCTGAAAGATGTAAAAAAATCCTACAATTTAACTATAATTTATAAGCATTGCGCGTGAAAACGGAATGGAGAAAATGTCACCTTTTGCCAAATACATTTACTTTTAATTTATGAAGATACTCAATTTCATAAAAACCATTTTTCTTTTTAAAATTTAACATATCTATATTTCATTGGTTGAATAGTGCAGAACGTCAACGCAGAACAATATGAAAGAGAACATGGCATCGAGGAAGAGAAGTGGCTCTGGCTCCAAAAGACAACTTAAGGAGAAGATCGTCCAGATTTATGAATCGTTTTTCAAGGTAGATATTTTCATCGATCTCTCGGCCCCTTTAGCGATGAACAATTTTAAACTTTATGTTATTCACAGGGTGAAGATCTAGCCAGGATGAACCCAAACTTTTGGGAAGAACTGTTTCTTCTTAAACCCAAGGTATTTGAGGTTTTTATAGAAAGAGTTTGCCAATGTTGTCTTGTAAAACAGAAAAATGATAAATAGTGCATTAAAGATGAACCTTGAAGTACTTTTCCTTCACTTTAATATTAATAAGTTAAAAGTTTACAGTTTTTTGTTTTCCTTCTTTTCTTATTGGCTCATAATATTATTAATATTTAAAAATTAAATAGCATGGTGTACAAGGCAATAATCTCAGTCTTCATTTCATAGCCATAAGGTAAATCATCATGTAAAATATTTATTGATTTGTTGTATAGGTGACCCAGTTGGAAACCGAAATTCTCCGTTTGAACGAAGAACAGTTATTAATGGCTAAGAACAACATAAATACCCTATTTGTACAGTGCATTGAAACACTCGGGAATGAACATCAGTTGAGGGTAGTCTATGCTCTTCAAGTAAGAAAGTCCACTTCTCTAAATTGACAGAGCAATGTGAATTAATATGCAATAATCCAATTTTTAGACTTTATGTGCTCTGATCAGTGCAGTTTACAAGACCTCAGGGCAGTGCGGATTTGATGTCATTGACATCCTTATGGGCTTTGACGCTGCTGAACAGCATATGAAACTCTTGTTAAGCTACTGCAATATGATTTTGAACGGTATTCATTTAATATAATATTTTAACTTTGATGTTTTACTCAACTTTATAAATAAATTGAGACTTTGATTTTTATAAATAAATAAAAAATTATTAATGTATGGAATTTGTATTACTATTAATGTTTCAAGTTCATAACATAAAGTAGCAAGACATTGTTTACAGTTTTAAACATTTTTATTTTTGGCTCTTTAAGATATGAATGTAATTTATTATTTATTTTATTTTATTAAGGGGAAGGTGCTCCAAACCTTAAATCACTCTGCCTCAAGCTCCTGCTACTGATGGTCACCGGAAATGACAATGTGAGTCAGAACACACTCTTGGAATTTGTCATGGTCAACAGCATATTCGAAACTCTGATTCAGCTGCTTTGCGACACGAGGACCAGACTCGACCACGGCCATGACCTAGTCTTACTTTTGACGCTTTTGGTCAATTACAGGAAATACGAGTCTGCCAATCCTTATAGCGTGAAGCTTTCAATCTTAGACGATGAACTTGCTCTAAACGGTTATGGACAGGTATTAAGATTAATAAAATTATTTTATTTCTTGTTATAATCATTGTACTTTTTTTAAGGTTATATCGTGGTCTCTGTCTGATTTCTGTAGGGCGTTCACACAAGAACAAAAAGAACCTCAGAGCGGAAGTTGGTTTTCATCCTTGTCAAACATTGTAGGAAACATGTTCTTATCTGAAGATACAGGGACGAGAAATCAACAAATTAGGTTATAAATTTATTATTATTATTATTAATTATCTTAACTAACTTTAGTATATAATTTTAATTAATTATTTTATAGAAAGTAACATTTAGATGAAAAATTAGTGTTGCAAGTGGGACTTGAACTAACGATGTCTGAATTGACACCCTGGTACTTTACCATTGAGCTATTGCAACTGGTTTACCATGGCACCAACTCATTTCAACCTAAAACTATTAAAATTTCCCCATTTTTCTGCCAATATTCAAATATCGTGCCATCCTATAGCTGCTCAATGATATATGAATTAGCAACGGGGGGCTTTTATCAATGTAAGTGGTCCATCTCAGCCTTACTTTGCATAAAATAATTAGGTTATATATATTTACCTATTTTTACCACACCCGATATGACTACCATTGGGTGAGTATTTGAGTCTCCTGTTCTGATGTTTAGAAGAAATAGTGCTGCTTTATTATATAGTACTTATACTATATCTAGTATTGTGGTCTTTTTTCTGTATATTGAGAGGAAATATGTAGTATGAGAGTAGATGGCAGAGGAATGAGTGAGAGTGTTCCTAAGTTTAAAAACAGCTTGTGTTTGGGGATGAAATGGCCTAGCTGGTGACAGCCTCATGAGCCTAATTTAGGCAGCGGGACGCATCTGACCCCCTACTGCTGAAACACCAAAGTGGATGATCCTCACAGTAAGCTGCAACTGTGGCAGAGGGGGTGTCGGTCGCCCCAACAGTTAAGGTGTTGATAGGTGTTGACATGGCGCTCATCACTGTAAAGTAAAGGTCCTGAGTTCAAATCCAGCAGCCCTGCATTTGAACCCGACATCCTTGCAATTTTTTTTTCAAAGCTGATGGTTGATATGACCTCTACTGTTGCGGCACGAACCCTCATAAAAAGTAAATAAACAAAATTTTAAAAAAACTATAGCAGAGTTATCAGACAGATTTCAGGTGCATTATACAACAATCGAAAGAAGAATCCAATCGGAACAGAGAAGACTGCATGGATTGTTGCATGCATGTATCACACCTGAATACAACTTTGCAATGTAATACTTTGAAGGTTTTACACCTCCTGAGCACTGCAGCTGAGCTGTACAGCTCATTGTACTTTATCCCTGGCTCCATATTTTGGGGGAGGGCTCGCAACACAAATGTGAACTTGAGCCCCCGTTGTACCGGTGTTCTTCCATCGAAGAAACTCATTTTTGAAGGGGGTTGGGACCAAATTCAGGGTCGCTGAGATCCGATCCCGCCCCTTCCATTGATGAGTGCCGTGTCAATTTCTTTCAATTGCAGCCACCTGTCCCTTTAGGCGTTAGAAAAAGTCCAGAGGCGACAGTGGGGATCGAACCCACGACCGCGGGATCTACTAGCCGAGTCTGACGCCTCTACCGCGGCCCACTCGGAGAGAACCTTAATTCCCTTATTCTTTGAAACTTAAGATGGCTACTAAAAACCCATTGCGAGGCCCTTAACTTGAACTCTGCACTTTGGTTGAGGGGTAAGGAGGGGTTATGTGCCTTTGCAATCTTAATCTGTGGAAACAACATTGCATTTTATGGCCGAATATACAATATTGGGCGAGATCAGGTTGTTGCACTTGGGATCTTTTACCCTCTCTAAAAGCACTCTGTTAAATCTGGTGGATGGCCCAGATCCACGGGCGCTCACGCAGTATGTCCGCCACGCCTGGAAATATAGATTAGACCTAATTATGGAATTAAATTTCTGACCCCTCCAATTCATTCACTCAATTTCCTTTATATAATATATGACTTTATTATATTCGATTTTTGTCCCTTTACCATTAAGACTTTTCCCCTCTGTTTTCTATTATAAGTAGTTTTACTATTATGTTTAATCTTTTTTTATGGTGTGCTAGCATGTAGCGAATAATGTTATAACCTCGCTTTAATTCTTATATCTTTATTAATATTTCTTCACTATTTTTTTCTTTTAATTCTTTTTCTCTTAACAACGACCTCCGGCAGACGGATTGTGATCCATGCCTATACTATGCTTTGCTAATAATAATTGTTATATTCTTAGAAATAAAAAGCATTAAAAAAAATATAAAATATAAAAAATCAACAAAACCCTTATAGCAGAGGTATACTGTGCCTACCTATTCTTGAAACAGCGTTGAAGGAAAATCGTCCAGCCCTGGTGAATAGAGGCTAAGGATATTTTACCATGACAATGCAGGCCTCACACAGCTTCACTCAGAGTGAAACTTCTGATTTAGACTGGCAAAATTGCCCCAGCCTCCATACTCTTCAGACCTTGCCCCTTACGCTCCCAAGACAACATTTAAAAGATAGGGAATTGTTGAAGAAAACACTCTGAAAATCAGACTTACAGATGTTTCTTCTCTTCTAAGTCATCAGGCTTTACAGAAACTTTTTCTACCAGAAAGTTGGCATTATTTTATAGAAAACTAAGGAAATTATATTTTGGAGTAAAAAAGTAAATAAATTTATATTTTAGTTTGATTTTTTTATCAAAACCAAAAAAACTTATGCTTACAACTACTACATGTATGTCCAGAGTTGAGATTATTAACCAATCAATTTTACATACCGCAAATAAAAATATATTAAAAATAATTTATGTAATAAAAAATATGAAATAATAATATGCCGAGTTTTAAGATTTTAATTCTGTAATGTAATTTTCAAATTATTTACTGTTCTTTATTGATTTCAGGGCAAACAATGGTGTGTTGGTTGCTTTGTACGAAGCCGTCCATTTGAACCGTAATTTTGTTAGCACCCTGGCGCACACCAGCACTGAAATTGCACCTCCAGCCGATGCCGAGATAATCACACCGGCAGAGCCGACAAACCTCCTCGGCACATTTTTCCAATACTGGTTAAATTATTTCTTATTATCAATTAAATATTCAAAATGTAAAAATTTCATTTCATTTACAGTTCAATCGTGATGCAAGACACAAAATGCGAGGCGAGTTTCAACACGGTCAAACTCTGCTTTCTAGTCTTGACCTGCGTTGCTGAAGACCACTACGCCAACTCGGTTATGCACGATGTCAACTTGGTATTTAAAATCCAGCTTCACCGTCTTCCGATGCGCCACAGGACTGTAATCCCAGAAAAGCCTTCACAGACCCTTGCAAACACATTATTAGGTCTTTTAAATTTGTCTATTTTCTTCATATTCTTCATTCGATAAATCAAACTAAATTATTTTTTTATGACAAAATAAACACAATTTATTTTTTTATTTCTTTTAGATTTACTTGTAGAGTTTGTCATGAGTCATATGATGAAAAAATTACCATTAGAACTTTATCTCTTGTGTGTCGGAGTAATGCACAGGGTGCTTTGTTATCAAAAAAGATGCAGGGTTCGCCTCACTTTCCAGTGGAAGGAGCTCTGGACTAGTCTAATTTCTCTGCTCAAGTTCATAATCGCCAATGAGGGGCACCTTGCTAAAAAGATGAATATTTTTAATTTAGCCCATCAGGTATAATTGTCATTTATTTTTATATATAATTAATAATTAACATAATACAAATATATATCTCTAAGGAAAAACCATTTGCTTTAGGTTGTGAATATTTTCAATTTGTTCATCACATATGGTGATACATTTTTATACTCTCCGGCTAGCTATGATGAGTTGTATTATGAACTGATCAGGATGCATCAGGTTTTTGATAATGTTTATTCAATGGGTAAATATCCGTGCACATCCTACTGAATGAAACGTTAATTAATTTTTTTTCATATTAGCTTTCAGATATTCAGCTATAGAAGGTGAATTTAAAGACACCGCTCTAAAATTAACTAATAGCTTAGTCAATGTCAGGTAATTCATTGCTAGATTGTTGTACAAAATGTATGCTAATAAGAATTTTTTTGTTATTTTTAGAGCAATTATAAATCATTTTACACCTAAAATTGATGCATGGCTAGCAGGACAAGCCCTTTCGACCCCATCTGAAGATCAAGTATTTCAAAATAGAACCCCCCCCCACCAATAAAGTTAACGATTTTAACATTTGAATTTTAAACCGGCAGATTTTGGAAGTCGTGCGGAAAAATTACGACAGTTTGACACTAAAACTTCAAGACAGCCTTGACCAGTACGAGAGGTACACGGAAAACCCAAGGCATTCGGCTTTCTTCACCTCACTGGTAACGCACGTCATTTTCTTCTCATCTTCGTTTTAATCACCTCCGTCCTTTTCAGGTCCGGAGCGTGGTCAACGACACCAAACTCAACATAGACTTCGCTTCCCTTGACCTGCAACTGATACTCCAAGAATTCTCCACAATCACATGATGCTTGATAGAACAGAAACCATTCATCGTGATCCTGAAAGAGTGTAATTTTATGATTTGCATAGACTTGACGATCAATTTAATTTATAGGCTGGAAGATGGTTAACACCTAGAGAAAATATATTGTAAATAATTATAAGTTCTGTTATGTTTACTTTTCTTTATATATATAATCTCTCTAGATGAAAACTTGTTAATATATAAATAAAAAGTTTAACTGATTTTACTAAATTGAATGTTTAATCAATTAAATTCCTTAAAATCTCCTGTATAAGTCACTTTTCCCAACCCTGCTGTTTTATACCATTTTTTGGATTTCTCTTTTTTTATGAGGATTTGCAACACCAGAGGTCATATCAACTCCTGGGGTGGCAGTGTTTATGCAAAAAAAAACATTTATACATATGTTGGGTTCGAATGCAAAGCCACTGGATGCAAACCCAGGATCTTTACCTTTTTACCGTATGGAGTGCCACATCTAAACCGTTAATAAAATGACTTTAGTAATAAAGATTTTCTTTCTGTACTGAAATTCCATGCATACCAGCAATATCTTGCGTGTTTATTTCTTGTTCGTTTGAAAGGGGCTTTGAAGAGCTGATTCGCCTTCCATTTCTGTAAATAGCCCCTGCAGAAAAATAAAAATATTTTTAAAAATCAATGAAAATAATGTTTAGAAAAATGATTCTTCATAGCTTTACTACCGGATAGGGTTCTTTTGTCAAATCGACTTCCTCGCCTGTGATTTCCACCTGGGTGGCTCTCTTTGCATTTTCGTACAGATCAGGCGGAATTTTCAGAAACCGCACGTCACCCGTGGTCTCGACTGTGTAGTCATACTTGTTTTCCAAGTCTGGACGTTCAAATCCAATAAATACGAGTACAGAGGGGGATTATAAAGCACACTTACTAGCATTAGGATCGAGGCTCAGAAGTCCGAAATAAGAAAACGGGCCGCATTCAAATTTCAGTTTATCTGGACCAAGAATGATGATGCCTCTACCCTCTATAATCATGACAAAACCTTCTGAAGCCTTTTCCTGTTTGGAAAATATTATTTTAATTATAATTAAAATAACTATGTTAAATAAAAATACCTGAGAAAATATAGTGGCCGTTTTCTTTTTCCCTGACATGTGAACAATCACTCCAAGCCATAAGAGTCTTCTTAAGACTTTCGGAGATATCACATCTGGTCTAAACGCATCTATTTCTGTTTTTGTTTTTTGGGGTTAGAGGAAAAAGTTTTAATTTCTATAATGGTACAATTGTGATCTTTAATTACCACATGTTAAAAACTGAAAAGTGGCAAGTCTTAAGTGAGGAGATATGAAGACATTTTTTGTCTCGAATGTTTCAGCAAAAGCTGTCAAATAATCGGCTACCATGCGCATTCTATCCCTCTTACGTTTAGATCTGTTATCAACTGTCAAACAAAATTTTCACTTTAGAGTTTTGACTTACAAATTACAACATTTTTTAGAAAATCATTTATAATTAAGTAAATATATAATTCATATATGCTTAAATTAACAAAGGCTGTAATTTCTGATGCTTTCTTTTCTATTTAAAATATAAATAAATAATCATTTTGAGATAACTTTTAATTGTACAGCATAAGTTTAACAAGTAGTAAAAATAGTATGATTTGTAGAGAGCCAGGGTAATGCACAGCATTACAACCTTTTGCACTTTTTAAATAGCAATTTATTAATAACAGCAAGATATTTACCGATGCTATCATACTCGTCTACTATTTCTATCTGTATAAGTTCTTCTATGACATCTTCAAGTGTCAAAAGCCCGATGACATTGTGAACCACTTGGGGATCATCGCCCGGTTTGCAAACAAACGCCATGTGCCCTCTTACACCTAAAGATAAAATTATTAATGATAGTAATTAATTTTACAAGAGCTATTTACCCTCTTTGAAAATGTTAAAGACGTCATCAAGGGCTGAACCCTCGTCGACATAAATGCACTCCGTTTTTGCCAATTGGCAAAAAAGCCTGATTGGGGTTTTGTCATCAGGGTCCAACAGTGCAAGATCTCGAACGTGCAAAACTTTGACAATGTTGTTTCTCTGGCCCTCGAAGATCGGTATCCTTGAATAGCCTGGAAATTTTCACAATTAAAAACTTAATTGTGTTTTTTTTAATTATTGGAGCATTAAAATTACCAGATCTCATTATCTCAGATATGACACTGTAATCGAGGTAGGTCTCGATGGACAACATGTAAATATCTTGAATTGGCGTCATCACGTCTTCTACTTTTTTTGCATTCATCTCCAAAGCTCCTGTGATTGTGTTAGCCTCCAACTGTTTTATGTTTGTATAGACTGATGTAATCTAAAAATAATATTAATTAATTAAAAACACAAATCGACAAAATTTTGCCTTTTCTGTTCTGTAAATATAATGTTTACAAAAACGTTTAAAATTAAAATTCTTCAATGTAGATGTAAATATTTTAAATTTGAAAAAATTGATAAATATAAATAATTACATTGTAAAAGTAAATTGGATTTAATTGTATAGTAAATATTTAAAATTTTAGTTTTTAAAACGAACCGGTGGAGCCCAGAGGGGATATCTCGAAGAGAAAGCGTTGTACTGACCCACCTGTGGATCGGTCACACACATGCGACTCATGGGTACCTCTTGGTTGGCGTGAGTCGACCTAGGTGCCCAGCATGCCAAGATGACAGACCCACGGTGTCGCACATGTTGGAGGGGTGTTGTAGCTTGGCCCTGTATAGGGACCGAAATGGAATACCGCCGGACTATAGGAGAATGCTCAACCATGGCAGCGAGTTTAAAGAAAAACTTTTTAGGTTTCTGAGAGATATTGGGATAATGGGTTGTATATAGTGGGGTATTTATTTCATAGGTTAAAGTTTAGATTTAGTTTATGTTAGAATAGGAGTATGCTGGGTGGTGGTGCAGCATATCATTTCAAGGCTCCACCGCTGCTCCGCCAAGCCGGGTCAGGGTGGAATATATAGTGCCCTCCGACCCGGATTCTAGACAGAGGATATGCATGTGTGATTGGGTTTGTATGTAGGAGTATGTATTTATTGTATGAGTGTTAGAATGACTAGTTTTAGGGAATGTAAGGGCGCCGAAATGACCAAAGAAGTCGATGGCCCCCGACCAGAGCCCAACCTCGGAGTCGCTCAGGCACCAAGGTGGGTGACTCCCCTTGATCCATCAGGGAGAGGACAGAGGCCTCCTAGGAGGTCACGTAATTCTAATTCTAAAACGAACCAATTGAATGTTAGCATTACTTTTAAAAATCAACGTGTATTATAAATAAAATTTATATAACTACTGTTAAAATGAGAACTTTCGTTCCTACAGGAAGGCTTAACGACCAAATACCCATTGGGTGTTGTGGATAAGGGGTAAGACCGTTTTACAATATGTACTTTTTCTAAATTAAAATAAAATAAAATTCCAAGGGCTATGCCAGGTTTCAAAAAAAGAAATGCCAGCATGGCAAACACAAATCGCCCAACCACTTGGTCCCCAAAAGCTTTTGCTGCAAATAAAATCATTTTAAAAGGGTAGGACATACATGGGGAAATTTTTTATCATAATTGTATATTAAATTAGTTATCACAGAATTTTTTTCTTATTTTGTTCATGTGCCTATGTTAATTTATTTTATTTGCTTATTTTATCGTAATGTGTATACTTTATCTGATCATAACTGTTCAAGTTGGTTGGTTTTTCCAGTAAAAGTTTAATATTGTCTAATTGAATATATTCTTTCCCATATGTTTATAACTTGCATAAATTTTTGGCTGAGAAATACCTTATTTTTATTTATTTGTAGACATTCTATTTTTTCTTCAGCTGATTAATTAGTTTTTAGTAATATTAGTTTTTTCTTAATTGCATTTAATTACTCACTTTTACCAATTCTTTTATTCTTTCTCTTGTGTAAATGTTGTTAAAGTCTTCTCCTAAAAGCTTGTCTAAAAGTTTGCCAAGAGGGTATGAAATTGGAAATGTAAGAATCATAAATGCCTTGGTGATGTAAATCGTGTTTGCACCGATTGCCAGATTGTACCTCGGGACAATGGTGCATGGTATAATTTCACAGCACAGGACGATGATGATAGTCGAGATAAAGACGGTGAGCCAGTTATTCAGGTAGTGGTCAATCAAAACTGTCATTAATGTGTTGCACAGAGTCGAGCCGATTACCAGGCTGATGAGCAAGAAGTTGCCCTGTGACCTCACCTCGAGGATTGTCTTCCCATAACGTTTCTCCTTCTCGCTACCTGCATTGGCGATTACTTTCAAACCTGTGATGTCTATAGTCATCAATCCTAATGCAAGCCCGTTCAGGATGGATGACAAGGCAATGCACAAAAGGATCAGGAATATGGACACACCCATCTGGATGAAAGGCTTGACGACGAGCACCTCATTCCAACTAGTATTCTCTTGTTCCTTCCAGTGCATGCCATCAAAAAGACAAAAATAAAACACTTCCACCCTTTTAGTGACATATGGCATTGTCATTCTAAATGTTCCCACAGCATCAGAATGTAGATTCACCTGGCAAAAATTAATCAAGGATGGAAATATGCACACTAGTTATTAAAAGAATATTTACATTGGCTATTGAATTTGGAGAAACAGAGCAGCCCAAGATAGTTGCTGGTGATAAAGTGACTCTCCGCAAGCCAGTCAAATTTCCATAAATTCTAAAGTCTACCACGGAATTAATTTCAAGCTCCGGCTTCAGTCCATCGCCATAAGTCAGCACAGATGAGGAGATGTACTGTTCGATTACATATCCATGAATCTGAATCCCTTGGACATACTGTGACCTGTTACAATCAAGCCCAAATAAATCATCAATGAAAAAAATGATAAAAATGTACAAACCTGTAAAAAGAAAAAAGAAACAAAAATAAAAACATCATTTTTTCTTGCCTTGTGATTATTTTTTAAACTGAATTTCATTCACCATGTGTTTGTAATACATAATTAACATCTACTTAAACAAGAAAAACAGCTAAGAAATTTTTTTTTTTGAAAATAGAAACAAAATAAAATCTGCGCCATTTATGATTATTTATCATATTTATATTTAACTTATTTCTTTATAATTTTTCTATAGTTTTCTCAATGTAGTTATTCAATTGTTGTGTTCTTTCTTTTAAACAATAAACTTTTAATATTAAGAGAATAAAGGCATCAATTTTGAATACAGTTGTAAATTTTTTAATTTATATTTTAATTTATTTATTATTTATTCATTTTTTGGCAATAACAGGTAGCCCAAAATCATTGTATAGGGTATTATTGAAGACATAATACGGTGCTCCTGTGATGTACTGTAGAACACTAAGAGTACATACATACAAGTCTTAATTAACAAAAGATTTGTAGTTGCTCAAAGTGAGGGGTGATCTGTCCAGCAAGTGTCACAGTCGTTATACCCTTTTGTGAACCTTATAGACCAGATACTTCGTATGTTCGATGCATGTTAGTTTTGAATCATGATGAACACCTAGATATTGAAAAAAGAGCTGAATTTCAGATAATCAGAGTCTCTGTTAAGTGTTTTATGCCAACTAGTAAAAAGAACAGATTTTTGACACATTCATTTTAATTTTTAACAAAGATATGTTTGTGGGTTGAATTCATAAACTATTTTTGCATGACCATTTTTGCTTCATTTCATGTTATTGGAGTATGATTAGGTTAGGTGGTTGATTAAGTTAGGAATGGTTAGGTTTAGGTATAATTAGGTGAGTATGGCAATTCACTTTTTGGAATGATAGTTGTACTCACAGAAGTTAGTAGCTGCCTAAAAATTCTGTGAGTAGAGCTATCATTTCAAAAAGTGAATCAATATATTCCATAAAGTAGAGAAAATATTTGAGTGTGAAGCACGAGTTTACCATCGATTTGGTACATCACCTTAATTTTTCATAATGACGCTTTGTATCATAATTTTTATCCCTATAAACTGATTAAAGACACTCGGAGCATATAGTACTGTACGTTCCACGACTTTGGACCTCCAACAATACAAAATGGTCTACTTTCTAAATGACAGGCAAAAAGTTGGAAACTAATGAGGAATAAATAAATGTCAAATTTTATACAGACTTTTTTTTCATTCACATTGCAAAACATTCTCAATGAAACTGCAATTTAGATTATATTTTCAGGCCAATCATGTTCTTACAACATAGAGAATGCAAACAAACACAAACAACAAAAGTAAAGAAAGAACATGAGAAGAAAAAAGAAAAACATTTTTACATTTAACAATATTCTAAATAACATTATAATAATAATAATAATAACATTGGTTTAAAATATGTCACAAGTGTTATATTCAATTTTTATTGTGTAATTTCATTTTATAGTTTGTGTTATTTTATGATTTTTATTGTATTTATATATATACATTGGTGGCCCCATTCGATTCAGCCACACTTCCGGATCTTATAGGAAATTGAACACTGAGTACATCTAACGGATAAAATCTAACAGAGAATTTTTTGATAGGGTGTTCAAGTTGTGAATTTTTGATAAAAATGTTAGAAATGGTGAATTTTGTATACTCCTTCACCTCCTAACTTCAAAAAATCACCAAAAATGAAATTTTCGGCTGATCAGGCTGGTTTTTATCTCATTCGACGCAAAAATTAATCCTCTACAGATGTTGTTTCGAGCTGTTTTCAGTCAGGCTAATGGTTTACTACTGAAGGGTTTGCAGACACAGGTTCATAGGACTTTTTTTACTCAGCGTTCAATTTCCTATAAGATCTGGAAGTGTAGCCGAATCGATTGGGGCCACCCTGTATATATATATTATATATCTTATATTATATAACATATAAAATAACATTGGTTTAAAATATATCACAAGTGTTATATTCAATTTTTATTGTGTAATTTCATTTTATAGTTTGTGTTATTTTATAATTTTTATTGTACACTTTTTTAAATTTATATATAAAAGATTAGCTTCATAAGTTTGTTTAAAACAAGTAGAGACAGGGACAAAAACTAAAATATTTATTTAAATGTAATGTATAGGACATGTAAAAATAAAATAAATGTTAAAAGGTTTACTGGGCAAGGATAAAAAGCAGAACAAACTCACAAAATAAACACTTACAAAATTGGATTACATTTATTTACTTACCTTTTCGAATTTTTCTGTGTAGACAAGGAATAATAACTTTCAACACATTCTTCTAAAAATGTAAATTTTATTAACTTCATTGTACTTACATTAGTGTAAAATCTTTGTTTCTTTAATGCTCAATAGCATTCAATTCAAAATCATTTATAAAAGTAAATAAAAAGAATTAATTAAACTTTTAAAAACCTTAAAATAGTCATTTTATTGTATTAGTTTCAAATATCCAGGGATAAAGTGCTTTTAAAAACAATTGCATTTCTTCTTACAATTGTTTTTCTAATGTGATGACAGACAGATATTTTTTCTTATTAAAAAAAATATTTCCATAATAATATAATACTGTCTTCATTTTACATATCAGATTGCATTTATAATGATGATGGTTATAATGGTTCCTAATAATATAAAATAACTTATTTATTGTTAAGTAAACTTAACCTAAATGTACAATAAAATCACAATAAAATGCATTTTAAATCAAATATGTACAGTTTTATAGTTAAATACAGATTCTACTGTAATATATTGAGTTATTTAAATTTCTTGATGCTAAATTATTAAATTATACCTCTAATTCAATGCCAGTTCTTAAATAAAAATCTACGTTTTTTCCAATTAAACAATTTTGGGAGACAACCTTTTATATTAATCTTTGCATGTATGGGATGTTGTCAATGATGATATAAAATTTCCCATTCCAAGTGAATGTTTTGCTCGGACCAAAATTATGCTTGCCTAAAATTAAAATTGTCATGTTCAAATTTTGTCTTCCGCCGAACGTCTTGCCATTCTCGAGATGCAAAATTGGCATTTTTTTGTCAATATCGTGAAAGTGAATTGACGAATAATACTCAACATTTGGCATAAGCATATCATACAAAGTACCCCCTTTTAAAGGGGCGACTTGAAACGAAAATGTCCCTATTGCCCATTCTATCAAACCGAATTTCGTATACTGTGGTAGCTTGAAAGATCCTTGGATAGAAGATTGGAAGAATGAACAGCTGAATAGAACTCCATGCGTGTAGTTGTCATGCAAATTGTTCACGTCTGGGTCCGGCTGCCAAAAGACGGGTAGCTGGATATCAACTGGAAGACCACCGTTCCAGACTTCCAGTTTGTTCGGTCGGTAAACTTTAACATAGCCATTCCTCACTTTGCCCTCTACTGTATGCCTATGTATATTAATAAAAGTATTGTGGTACGAATCATTCTTGTGATCATTCATAAATTGTGAATAATCATTCTGAGGATAATAATTCAATCCTCGACTCTTTAAAATCACCTCGACATCTCCATTCCAATAATAAGCTTTGTTATTATTGCAAGACCAAGGCATTAAATAGCAGTAAAAGGGTTGTTTGTAAATCCACAGTCCAACGATGATGATGCAGGTGTCTTCCTCGCTGTTGCCTTCCTCCTTTAAAGACGGTTGCTGAATCATGTTGAATACGAGCTTGCACGTGTAATTTTTATGAGGCTCTATTACAAACAAAGGAGATTGTAAATAATAAACATTCAAAGTGAAATTTCCTCTCCAATATTTTGTCTTTTCTTCTTTAGTTATTGGCCAAATAAATGTCCCTGATATACTGTTGTTAGAAAAAATCCCTTCACAACTGATTCTCGGACTATTATCAAAACTAAATGGATCAGTAATATTGTCAAAATTTACAGCCGCTGGAAATTTCCCATCAAAAATTTGTATTGCCTTGCCATCATCGCCAAAGCCTAAAATTTCCCCACCTACTATGGTGGTTTTAATTTTATTGAAAACTGGCTTTGGGGGTTCTTCGTTCAAAATCCTTTTGAACATTTTTTCATTGCCATCTGTAAAAAAAATAATTTCGGTTAAAATTTAATTTTAAAACAAACATATTACTTCAATTTCATATAATCGTGTAACAAAAAAAAAAAAGCATTTCTTACTTAATTCTGAATTTGTTTGGAAATTCTCAGGCATATAAATTTTCAACTTAATCTCTAAATTTCCATTCCAGTCAAACATTCTTCCGTTAAACTTTCCACTTAACATGATTGTACAACTCTCTGAGTTTGTTTTTTCCTCAACAGACGAAAGTTGTTTAGACGGGTCAAAAATAATAATATATTTATAAAGTTTTTCAGGCTCAATGGTACACATAGAGCCGCCCTTTTCAGAGGTGACTAGAGCGGTGAAATTCCCAGTCCAGATCCTATTAAATACTGATAAACTGAAAGATCCCGCAAGAGTATTATTGCTGATCGTACTTCCTTTAAACTCCAAACGTGTTTTCATACAGTGTTCATCAGAGCTTATAAAATCTTCTGTGTTTATACTCATTGGAAATGTACAGTTGTAAATATTTATGGAATTTCGTATGTCCAAACTTGCCGTTATTTCACCTCCAATAAATGTACTGACAGTAATAATTTTTTCAGATTTATTGTTTTTTGCTATGTTTTTAGCAATATAATCTTCATTGCCATCTAAAATAACATTTCACATATTATTAAATTATCTGATTTTAAATGTTTACCTTATCTCTATAATTAAATTATGTTTTGAGGATTAATTAAAGATAATAAAATCACAAAATTTACAAGCCCATCACCACTATTCTTACCCAGTTTGACAAGTGGTACAGCTTTATAATTCAGTTTTTCTGGGACGGTAACGTTTGCTGCTAATTTTCTTATAATAAGTTCAGCATCGCCAGACCAGTAGAAAATCTTTTCATCAGAGCACCACCAAGGTGTCAAGGCGCAGTAAAATGGTTTTTTATAGAAAGAACCCGCTAGCATTATCGTACAGCTTTCAGGGTCTTTTACGGTTTTCCCTTTGAGCGTCATTCTCGCCTTTTTGTTAAAATCGTTAAACATGAGTTTGCACTTGTAGATCTTATATGGCTCGATTATGTCCAAAGAGCCGCCCCATTTGTATTTCACAAGCGCAGTGAAATTCCCTTTCCAATATTTGACCACCGAGTTCCTCATGACTGGGAGGCTGTATGACCCTGATAATGAGTTGTTTACTGCGACCCCTTTCCACTCGATAATTGCACTGACATCATACCCATTTGGGTCTGTGAAGTTATCAACATAAACTTCAGCTGGCAAAGTACCATCAAACAATTTTACAAAGTCCCCGTTGTCATAGCCACCAAAAATCTCTCCTTGGACCAGAGTAGTTGATGCATATAGTTTTATAACAGATGGCTTTGTCCCATTCCTTTTTTCTAAACTTTGTAACTGTCCTGCTTCAAAATTTTTGTTAAACATCTATTAAACATTATTTTTTAAAACCTGACTTTATCCTTACCCTGACTGTGCGAATCTGACCACAACTGAAGATTTACTTCTTCAAGACTATCACAATTGATCTGATCATTACTGTCTTCCATGATTTCCATCACATACTTTTGTATAACTTCAATTGAATCTGAATTGTCACAAATTATTTTAGCCAATGTTGTTTTCTTTATTTCTCTCAGTTGTTCTACAAAATAATAATAATTTGTGCTACTGTATAAAAAATTGAAATGTTTAATAAATTATTATGAAAATTGCAATATTGTTTTATTTTAAATAGTAAACCTTTTGTAAATCCTTGTGGCTTTTCTTCTACTTCATACCAATAACGATCACCAAATTTGATTTTATGAAATTGCTTTGCTATTAAACATGTTGCAGTTGGTCCAAGGATCGCATTTTCCTCGGGATTTTCTGATAATGCCCCAGAATATAAATCAATATCCTCAATGTCCCTAATAGAAAAATATAGTCAATAACTTTTAATACAGAGCTAATAATCTTCAATCAATTACTTGTAATATTTCTTTAAAACGTGAACAGAATCTTTGTCCATTATGTGCTGTAAATCTGCAAATGATTTAATCTGAGAGAGATTGCAGAACTTCCTCCATTCAGTGTATCCTGGTAGACCGTGGTCCCGTCCACGCTGCAAATTCAGCGTCACAAGATCCAATCCACATGTCTTGTTTGTTACATTTTTTAAGTCTTGAAAAAGGTGTTGAGTTGTCTGAAATTGTAAATACATTAATTATTTTAATTAATAATTTTTAAATGTAATTGTTTACCTCAGTGTTAAAAAATCTATCAAGTTTATCTGTCCTTGTGTTCATCGCACTGGTAATAACTGAGTCCAGACTTCCCGCATCATAGAGACGGAACGGATTGAACAGCATTTTATGAAGCAACACAAGCTCCGGTGACGTGGCATTATTTGCTGCGATTTTCATCAATTTCTGGAAAAAATCTACCGTGAGACGACTGGCCATTGTAAACTGTCGTAATTTAGTTTACTGGAAGTAATGTGTGAGCGAATCTGAAAGCTGCAGCTGCAAAATTGTTGTTCATCAAAGCGTCAATATCCTCATTGTATTCATAATCTTCCGGGTTTAAACGATATTTCTCCATAGTTTCTTCGCCTAAAAGGGGTTTCAGGAATTCGTTATAAGTGATATGTTGCATCTGTGCAATGACAATCCTTCTAGACTCCTGATATATCTTCTCGTCCTGCCATTTTGGATTTAATATTGACAAATTTGAAGCTAGCCTGTTATGCTGTCGTGCCATTATGAGATGAATTGAAGTCAGATGGAGATTTTCATTAGCTCTGCTGTCACCTAGGATTTTTTTTATTTTTTTTTTTAATAAACCAATCAACCAATCAATGTTTAAACTTACCTGCCAAAAAACAATATTTCCCCTTTTTTGCCTCCTCTTCCCGATTACAACCATCATTTAGATCAGTGGAAATTGGAAGAAGCTCTCGACCATCTTTTGTATAAAACATTCTCAATTTCCCTCCTGAAAAATCTCTGAGCTCGTTTGCAAGTTCTTGGTTGCTACCATAGACTACTGATCCGTCAAGATAGCTTGTGACTTGGTTAAGCTGTTGTCTTCGACCTTAAAATGTTAACAATTATTACTGAACACTGACTCAAAAATAACACTTAAAATTTACCAAATTTGCAAGTTGGTGCAGGTGCACTCCTCACAAATTCCATACATTTGATACCGAATTTGCTGTAATATGGATCATCACTGGATATGTTGACGGGATAACATTCAGGATGGTTTACACCTCCACAGCAAGAAAGAAACTGTCCGTCCACACCTGAATCACAAAAATATAAAATCATCATAATTCATTAATTAGATAAATAAATTAACCTTTATTGAGTGCTGTTGAAGTCATATCGTGATCTATGAATTGCCCCCAGACTGCAAACATGTATGTAAACTTAGGATCACTTTTGTACTCAGGCCTATGCAATTTTAGGGAAATAAGCCTGGATGATGGTAAAGATGTTTTGTCCTTGGCACATCTTGGAGATCCGATTCCTGAAGTTAAAATTAATTTGTATTCAATTGAAAAATATTTTATTACTCATTACCATCGCAGTAATCAGCAGAAAGATCTCTTGCAAAGGGTCTCATTGCTACTCCCCACAGCATCGGATGTTTTTTATTGTTACAATAACCATTTATCATTCTATATGGAAATTCACAATTGGCTCTTTCTTTGGTGCAGAATTCCAAATTCAGCCAGTTATGAGTGGTAATTTCAGATATGGTTTGCCTTTTCTCTGGATGATTTCTTTTAAAAAAAAGTGTGTAATGTTTAATGACCATTAATTAATGATTATTTAAAGATCATGAGATACATTTTGGTGAGATCATATCTTACAAAATTTAAATAATCTTTTAAAAAATATAAAAATTATTACTACTGGTTAATTGTGATATAAAATAAAAACCACCTTATTAAATGTTCCATGGCTCTATTCATCAAATAGCCTTTTTCTGTATAAACATAAGAACCGTTTTCCCCTTTCAAAGTCTGCTGGTGTCTGTAAGATGGACTGTTTGGTCTAATCATTGGATTTTCCCTGTCAAGCCTCTCCTTATGCTTTAAATCCATTTTGGCCAAATTGAAAGCTTCTGAAATTTCATCTCGCTTCACATCCAAACCAAAGTCCTCATCTAGAAGTTTTTTGTTTTGTTTTTAAATTACAACCCATTAGACAATTTTAAATATATAAATTTTACCATTTTCTAGACTTAGGGATAGAGCAAATGAACCATTTGTTTCAATACTAAACGGATTTAATGGCTCGTCCTCCATTTCAAAATAAACGAAAGAAAGGATTATAAAAGTCATAGCTAAAATCACCCTTGGAGAGAGAAAAAAATTAAAAAAACAGTAAAAAGTTACAAGGCAAAATGGTAAACTTACAACATTGCACAACTAAGAAAATTAATTATCCCAATCTTGTTGTATCGTCGAAAATGTGATGTATATCCATTTCTGTGCTCCGGACGGAGTGGTGTGCGTTCATTGAACATGTTTTATAAACACCAAACTGCAACAAAATACTTATTAAAGCAGTAAAAACTATATTAATTGAAATTGTAAAACATTCCCTTTTGTGTACAGAAAAATATAACTCAAGTACTATTTTAACCATATATATTTAAATATTCCGCCATCAGCTCTCCCAAGCTAAACATTCACACTAATAAATACATTCACTCTTGCTAGGGACACAAAACTATCAATATTATATACAATAACCAACACTGTTTCTTCGAAATTAGAACAGGGGATCCAGATATAGAGTCAAGGAGTTACATCGTTTAATTAGGTTGGACACTGGGTGGAGTACTCAATATTCCTCCTTAACCACTTATATAAATAACCTAATTGAGGGTCTCCCCCCATACAACGCACTTCAAGAAAATTTACAAAAATTTCATTCATGGAAATTCTCCAAGAACGCGCAGCGTGTCAAATTTATCAAATCTGTATAAATACTAATCGTAGTAAGAAAAAAAGATTTAACGCCGTGTTTTTAACAAATTCTACGATGGCGGCAATATTTTGGAAATCGGCCATTGTCACAAGAAAGAAAAACGATGTTTTATTTGAATTCAACTTAAATTCAAGAAACATTGAAACAATGAAAAACAAAGAATTTGTAAAATATGTTTGTAATATAAAATGTAAAGTTATTTATTTTTATCTCAACAACTCGAGATTTATAAAATCGATATTGCATCGTTGCCAGACCGACCCAAATCCAAACGTCGACTTCCTAGGATTTGCACCAGGAGCTCATAAGAAGCTAAGAGCCACTTGGGAAAAATAATCAGACGATTGACAAAGTATTTAAAAAATAAACAACAGTAGTAGTAGTAGTAGTAACAAAAATGGTTTTTTTTTTAATTAAAAAAAAAGTTTGGCCAAACAATAAGATAGTGAAGTCAAGTTTAAACGAAAATGATACCTCAAATGAACCACTATAAAATATAAAAAAAATTGTTGTATTATGTAAAATTTAACCAAGCAAATACTTTTTTAAAAATAAAAATCAGTAATAATATCACAAAATTAATAATTACTTATTTATTTCTCTTAATTTAGCATTTTGAACGTCTGACTTAGAAAAAATATGTGTTTTGTTATTAAGTACGTTATTGCTATTCCTCTTCTTTTTTGTTGGTTGATTGACTTCAATTGATTGATTTGGACAAATAAATAACGAACTGCTTCAACCGATTTATTTATTGATGCCAAATTATTTTTAAAAAATTGACCAAATAAATCAATTACTTTATCATTTGGTTAAATATTTTTTATGTTAATTTTTAAGATTCTTTATCAATTAACTATGATGCGCTTTTCTGAATATTTAACGATCATTGAAGATCATTCCGCATAATATTTGGGTTGGAAATTGTTTATACGCAGGTAAAAGTTATTGAAAACGAATATAGCTTTTTCTTATTTTGTACTATTAATATTTTTACACCGATTCTTGTCTATTTGACGATTTTCATCTTTAAAAAACAAGAAAAAACAATATTCTAATAATTCAACCTGTAAAATATAAATTTTAAGAAGCACCATCGTTCTCTAGAACATCTATGTAAGACAATGTTAAAAAATAATCCAACCAATTCCAAAATTGGTCAAACATTTATAAATACCGTCAGTCAGGATTTGTACCTTTTGGACAATTCGTGTTACATAAGAGCGGTGTAAAAACACGTTTCTACCTCGTTCTTTCCAATAATTTACACTCTGTTTCTGATCAATTTCAATTCATTAGTAACAGATAAATTTCATATATGCAAATTTTATAGTTGACAGATTTTGAGGGTTGAATGTACTGTATTAGCAGCGTGTTACATAACATGTTCGAATAAAAATAAGCTTTAAAATGATAAAATATTTTTCAGTATATACTTAAAAAAATATATTTATACACATATATTTCTTTATTGTACCTCTCAATCCAATAAAATTTTTTGCATATTACAAAAAAAAAATCAAAAAGAAAACACACACACACACACACACACACACACAACGAAACATCATAGATGAAGTATTTCTACCGTTCCTTCTTCCCATTTTCTTAATTAAGGATTAAAAAATATTTAAATAACTTAAAGACGGACTTACAAACAGGAGACGTTCAGTGCTTCGGACTTTTGGTAAGTTACGTAATAAGTGATTGCTGCCGACGCTTGTCGAAAACTGAACGGACTTAGCGCGTCAAACATCTCGGCCCCTTGCCTGACGGGTCATCGAGAACTACCCCTAAGTATTAAGACTTTACTAGCCTACAAATGAGAACCAACTTATATGTTATTATTTAAAACAAAATCGATTTTGTAATGTCAGATAAACGTTTACGCTAGAAAATTCCGTGTTTTTGATTTTTAAAAACATTTTTGTAAATATTTTCTTATATATATATTTCACAAATATATAAATAATTTGCTAAAATGTTACATGAAACTGAAAATTATACGACAAATAAACCATTTAAAAATTAATTAATTAATTAATTTAAAACAAATTGAAAGTTAAACATCGAACAGTTCCAGGCGGCAAATATAACTACATAAATAAAAACTCCCACCAAGACAGGTACATAAAAATTCAATTTTGTCAAATTTCGTCACGGGGATTTCGGCAATTCATAATGCAAAATTTGTACCATTAGTGTTATTTATTTATTTCTCTAAACTGTGCTTGCCGAATTTGTTTTGTTCTTTTTAATTGGCTAGTAGTATACGGCCCGAGTTTAATAAATTGTTTAATAAAATAAATCTTTTCATTCTTCATATTTTCCATTATGAATAATATTCAATTGTGTTGTTTTCAAGTAAAAATTTCGAAAGGTTTACGTTATAATTATGCCTTTCTTGTTTTTTTTTTTTTTTTTTTTTTTTTTAATCCTCTTATTTTCCATTATGGATAATAATCAACTGGTTTTTTTTCAGGCAAAAACTTCAAAAGGTTTTGGTTGTAATTTTGATCTTCTTGTTCTTTTTCATTCTTCTTATTTTCCATTATGGATAATATTCAACTGTTGTTTTCAGGCAAAACTTAAAAAAGGTTTTGGAAAGAAAATTTTGTTCTTCTTGTTCTTTTTCATTCTTCTTATTTGCCTTTGTGGATAATATTCAATTGTGTTGTTTTCAGGCAAAAATTTCAAAAGGTTTAATTGTCATTTGCCCTCCTTGTTCTCTTTTATTCTTCTTATTTTCCATTATGGATATTATTCAATTGCATTGTTTGCAAGTAAACATTTCGAAAGGTTTAGGTTGTAATTATGCCCTTCTTGTCCTTTTTTAACTTTCTTATTTTTCATTATGAATAATATTCAATTATGGTTTCCCCCCCGGCCAGCTAGCTGCCTGAGCTATTGCCGGATTATGTTGTTTTCAAGTAAAAATTTCGAAAGGTTTAGGTTGTAATTATGCCCTTCTTGTTCTTTTTTAATCTTCTTATTTTCCATTATGGATAATATTCAACCATTTTGTTTTCTCGCAAAAACTTCAAAAGGTTTTGGTTGTTATTTGGGTCTTCTTGTTCTTTTTCATTCTTCTTATTTTCATTACGGATAATATTCAACTGTTTTGTTTTCAGGCAAAAATTAAAAAAGGTTTTGGTTGTAATTTTGGTCTTCTTGTTCTTTTTTATTCTTCTTATTTGCCATTGTGGATAATATTCAATTGTGTTGTTTTCAGGCAAAAATTTTTAAAGGTTTAGTTGTCATTTGCCCTCCTTATTCTTCTTATTTTTCATTAAGTATAATATTCAATTGTGTTGTTTTCAAGTAAAAATTTCAAAAGGGTTTGTTTGTAATTATGCCCTCCTTGTTGTTTTTCATTCTTCTTATTTTCCATTATGGATAATATTCAATTGTTTTGTTTTGAGGCAAAAATTTCAAAATGTTTAGGTTGTAATTAAAGGCATTGCTTTGTTGCTGCCCAATTTGCTTAAAGGTGGACTTGGCGCAAGTACCCCACATCAGTAGAGTATATATCCAAATCAGCTGATTAGGCTGTTGTATATTACGTGTTAATAAATGGATCTGAATGTAAAGATGTGGATTGTCTAAGTGAGTTTAGAATTGTGATGTTCTGCATCGAAGTCTTTTTAAAAGTTTATTAACGTGGTTTCTAAATGTGAATGTTTATCAAGAATCACTGTAGCTACTTGGTAGAAAAAATAAGTAACAACTTATTGAATTATGCATAAAGTAGATTGATGTGTTGGAGTAATTCTCTTTGTATGTATATGTCACAACTTTTGATTTGAGTGGATTTATTTTCTTACTCAATTGTCCAAGTTCTTTGATAAATCCTTCTTGATAAATTCTACCACTTACAGCAGTCAGTATGACAAGTAGTGTATACATATAAAACAGAAAAATCAGGGGTTACAGTTAGTGGGTCGAGAGTAAAAACCATATACAGGTACAGGTTGAGCTAAAGTACACCAGCTTGTATATTTTCGATGATATCACATTTTATATGCTTTCTTGGTATATCCTATCTTGGAAGTAGTGGCTCAAATATTTGATTGTAGGAACGGTCCAATTTTAGAAAGTAAGCCACTCTGTCATACACAACTGGTCTGTAATGATCAAATTACATATTACCTCTGTATAATAAGAACTTTATTTAAATGTTATTTGTGAGAATATCAATTAAAATAATTATAGAACTTTGTATTCTTGATGAAATGTGTTTTCAGGCATTATCTAACTGGCAAGAAAGTAAAATAAACCAGACATTCAAAAACTGCTAGTTGTATACGTAACAAATTTACACATTAGTAACAATAATACAAGAATTATATAATGTACAAATTTTATTTTATACAACATTGAAACAGCATTTAAGTAAAATTTAAATTATTTTTTTTGTGGTCACATTAAATGTATTGAAGAACAGTGAAAAGGAGGCAGTTGAGAAAATCAATGTAGATATGAGTGCAGCCTGTGTACATATGAACATTAACTTGGGTGCAAAGACTGACCAGATGAACAGATGGTATCTCTCAAATGTGACCACTACCATGTAAAATAATGTTGTAACTGCTGAAACAAACAGCATTGTTGAGAAGCTCTTTATCGCTGAAAGACTGAAAAAAAAAAAAAAATCAAAAAGGAAAATATATGTACTTCAGGCAATTTATACTCACTTATCCTTTATGTCTAATTTCTTTATGAGTAAGACAAATGACAAAATATGCCCTGAATACATGTTGAGACCTACATACAATCCTGTTATGAAGAGGTTGTATTCCTCGAGGCCTATGTAGCCGGCGGATATGTCAATATTTGCAATGCTGTTCGAATTCCCCTGGAATCAAATCATCCGCTGATTAAAACTTGCAAGAATGTCAATGGAAATTTCCATACCTGGTAGAAGTAAAATAACCTTCCTATGCAGAAGTGAAAGAAAGCTTGTGAGTAGGAACATTTTGGATGCACTTTTGAAAATGCGTTGGAAAAAAGCAGTATTGAAGGGAAAAGAAATACATTATGAGCTTTGGATAGTAAAGTGAGAACACATATTGAACTGCTTAAGATCATATCTGTAAAATATTAATTAACATTAAGATTATTTTAATTAATTATACTCCTAACCTAAGGTCTTGGTTCAGTTGAAAAAGCAAGTGCCTCGAGTGGTATTCAAACCCATGACTTTTGGCTTTCAAGGCGGTTTGAATTCTGCTCGTGACACTTGCTTTTTCGTTTAAACCAAGAACTTAAATTAAAATAATTAATACAGTCAATTATGACTTCTAAATGTGGATTAAGAATTATAACAAAATATACAAATTTTCATGATTATGTTAAAACATCAGTTTTTGACTTTTTCCTTCATTATAAATAAATTACAATTAATTAAGGTTTTTAGTTGAGATGAAAAAAAGTTAATGGGACGAGAGGGATTCGAACCCACGACCTTCGGCTAGATACACCGCTGCTCTACCACCTGAGCTATCGTGACCTTGATCCACTCGGACAACTCCCCATCTGAACCCCACCTTATGAATTTTCCCTCCTTTTGCCATTTTTCAAATGTCGTGTAATCGGTTTGGATTCTCGACGACAACTGAAATGGCGACGGAGAGCTTTAGTGAAGTGTTTTTTCATCTCAACTAAAAACCTTAATTAACAGTCATGTATTAATTGGTCAAGCAGACCACGAAAGTAGTGAATTAATGATTTAAAAATGAAGTACACCAACTAAAGCTCTCCGTCGCCATTTCAGTTGTCGTCGAGAATCCAAACCGATTACACATTTGAAAAATGGCAAAAGGAGGGAAAACTCATAAGGTGGGGTTGAGATGGGGAGTTGATGTCCGAGTGGATCGAGGTTACGATAGCTCAGGTGGTAGAGCAGCGGCATATCTAGCTGAAGGTCGTGGGTTCGAATCCCTCTCGTGCCATTAACTTTTTTTCATCTCAACTAAAAACCTTAATCAATTGTAATGTATTAATTGGTCAAGCGGACCACGAAATTAGTGAATTTAAGGAATTATAAATAAATAAGTTTTTAATATAATACACTCAGACAAAAAAAAAAAATGTTTTCTTTAACAAAGCAATAAATATGAGTATAAAATTAATTTCTTCTTAAAAGCATGGTTTTAACTCGAGAAGATCTCGCTGGGCAGGTGCTTTGGCCCCCAATGGACTTAGTATCTATATATTATGCAGGGTGGGCAACCAAGACCTGAGGGGTTAAATGCCTGGGTAGACTCGTACCCCGTCCCTAAAAGGTCTGGGACTTGGTCGGCTCACGTGTCCTGCATAAACCTCTTGGACTTGTTCACAAACCCCAAGATTTTGGACCATTTTATCTCGGGGAGTGATTTGGTGATGTCCTCTCCTTCAAAGATTTCAAATCTAGACCTAGCATACCTAGCACATTCTGCTTGGACTTAGTATCTATTCCACATAGTCCAAGTCCTAGGTGTGCCACACTCTACCATCCACAGTAACTACAGCAGTTTAGGGCCACTGGAAGTCTCGATTAAAAAGAAGGTAGTGATTGACCGTTATGTACGATGGCTAGAGGTGATGATTTTATGGCTCTTACGGCACTACAGAACCATCATTTAATACCTTCCTTGAAAGCTGTAATGTAATTCTCTAAAACAACCTTCAGAAGGCTTTCGTGAGAATAGCCTAGTTTCTAGACATCCCGCATCAGGTTCTCTACTACTGGAGAGGCAGAAGAAAGCCGATTTTGCAAATCAGCATCTCACTTGGATGATCTCATGGGCCATGCTTGAGTTACAGCTTTTTCAAGGTAGTCTGTTATGGTATGGAGTAGAATCAACGTCTCAAACTAATTATCATACAGAATGGATCAACTTCGTGTTAATGCATGATAATGCCCAATCATATGTAGCTTGCCTAGCAGCATTGTACATGAAGCACTCAGTACTTGGATGATGTTGGGATTACCACAATAAATTTGCCAGTTTTCCTAACATGAATCCTATAGAAACTTATGGGACAAAGAGACAGGTTAGACATCATTTGCCACCTCCAAACCACAACTTCAAACAAAACTTGTTAAAGAAGAGGATTCTCATTAAATTGGGATCGATTAAAACAGTTATAAGAATTGTTAACCTTGTCTTGATATAGTAAACATCTTATTTCCTTAGAATTAATTAAGGTTTTCAGTTGAGATAAAAAAGTCAATGGCACAAGCGGGATTCGAACCCACTATCTTCGGCTTGATGTTGCTCTACCACTTAATATTTATACCTCTTAATATTATTTTCCATTATGTATAATATTCAATTGTGTTGTTTTCAGACAAAAATTTCAAAAGGTTTTGGTTTTAATTATGCCGTTCTTGTTCTTTTTTTAATCTTCTTATTTTTCATTATGAATAATATTCAATTATCTTGTTTTCAGGGAAAAACTTCAAAAGGTTTTGGTCGTAATTTTGCTCTTCTTGTTCTTTTGCATTCTTCTTATTTGCCATTATGAATAATATTCAATTGTGTTGTTTTCAGGCAAAAATTTCACAAGGTTTAGGTTGCAATCATTCCCTTTCTTCTTATTTTCCATTATGGATAATATTCAATTGTTTTGTTTTCAGGCAAAAATTTCAAAATGTTTAGATTGTAATTAATGGCATTGCTTTGTTGCTGCCCAATTTGCCAGGATCTTTGGCTTGATACACCGCTGCTCTACCACTTGAGCTATCATGACCTCGATCCACTCGGAAACTAACTTCTCATCTCAATTACACCTTTCGAATTTTCCCTCCTTTTTGCCATTTTTCAACAATTTTATCTCAACTGAAAACCTTAATTAATTGTAAGAAATAATTAATTTAAGTCATTTAATTAATTCCTTAGTTTTAAAAACTTACCAGATATTTCATTGTTTCTCTTAGAAGGTTCTTTCTCATAAAAATAAATAAAAACGGCAGTCCTTATTGATGTCAACACCCAAAACACCCTTGCTTCTGTTATTCCCCTAAAAAGTAACTCTACTAAGTAAGTACTTCGTACATTAAACAAATAAGTGAAATGATTTACAAGGATGCTTCTTTATGTACAAAACCTAAAGTACACGTTCCGACAGCAATTTTTTGAAGGAATATCGCAACTAACTGCCCCACGGCAAGAACACAGTCTAAATAATCTACGATCTTTCTTTTGTACTTGAATCTTTGGCATTTGTAGATGAAACAAAGACCTAAATAATATTTGTATTAAAATGAGGATTTTTAAAAACTAATATTTTATTACCTATGACATAATAAATTGTCAGATAATGTTTATGGTCTGTTGAATTCAACCAGTCGCCGATGTCGGGCAGATGGGCCCACTTATCACCGGTCTGGTTCAGCTTCCTCAGAAATACCTGAAGTGCTAATACTAGAGAGAAAAGGAGATACCGAGAAGGCAACAAGTAGAGGGATAGTGTTGTTACTGCGAAATACCAAAATTGATGCTCCTCTTCAATGAAGCTGCTTGAAGTTAAGGATGCCAAGTTAAGGACAAAAACCAAACCGAGCATTATATAGATCGTGTCTGGCCTCAACCTGGACCATAGTTTTGAATAGGGAAAATTTGCACTGATGAGCAAAATGTTGTAGAACACAATCGCAAAAAGACAAATAACTAAAGCGACGTGTTTGTAAGTAATGGAGCATAGTTTAGAATCGCATTCATTTATCATACAACAGAAGTAATGAAACCCCACAAAACTCAAGAAAATCAGGAAATTTTGTCCACTGAACTGCTTAAAATTAAATTCCAGAAAAGCGTTATAGGCCAAAATAAACAGCACCACCTGAAAACAAAAATAATTTAAAAATCTATGTATTTATACAGTATTGATTTTCTAAATCATTTCTTTTAATAATCACAATGAATTATGTACAACACACAAAAACATTTTAATCAATAAAATTAAATATTAAACTGTAAAGAGATGGTGTTTTTCACACAAATTGATAATACCATCTTGCATACAACCTACTTCCCACATCATCATGATTGCCAAACTAGGAAGTATTTTGAAAGACTCCTCCTACAAAGCTAATGTTACACTTGGAGCCAGTAATCCCACACGACCAGTTCAGTTTCAGATCTCTCACTCCTGTCCTCATCAACTCCACAGGACGGTTACTGAAATATTAGGCACATACGAGGAAAAGAAAGTCTGTCTAGGGCTGTTTAAGGCATTTCACAAAATGTAGCACCCAGGCCTATTAATAACATTGAAGCCTCATCTTGATTATTCCCTGTACTGCATCGCACATTCCCATCTTACAAATTGAAGATATTCAGCGTGCTACAGAGAAGTCTCACAGTCTTACATAATTAAATCAGGAGTATCACAGCCTTCTCTTTTTAAGTAATTTCCCAACAAATACGGTTTTAAAAATAGCCTGCTTTGCCAGTGATGTCGCTATATTGTACAAAGATAGATGAAGAAGCCTATTCTGTGCTACAGGAATTCATGACAGCAACAACTGGAGTAAAAGATGGAGGATAAAAGTGAACCCAATGAAGACGCAAGATGTCTAATTTTTCTCATGTCAAATGAAGTAATTTTGTTGAAGGGGAAACCGTAACATCTACTCAATTGGTGCGATATCTAAGACCTAGACCAAAAGCTAGTATGGGAAACCCATATCAAAAATATTGTCACATGGAATTGGCATCAAATGTTATGCAGTAAAACATCTTGCCAGTAAAACCATCCCTCTCCACATTAAGTGACTTATTTAAGTAAGGCAATAATGTTCATCAGCCTCTGACTCGCAAATTAAAAAGATGCAAGCAATTGAGAACCATACCCAGTAAATAAAAAATGCTCCATGGTATGTTCAGAAGCAAACTATCCACAAAGACTTGGACATTCCTAATGTTCAATCATCACTGCTGGTTCACCACAAACCAACTGATGCAAGAAATTGACCACAGCCAATCAACTCCAAGAATACAAAGATGACTGAAAAGGAAAAGATACTCCAAGTTATTTACATGTTTTTCGAGTTTGAGTCAGGAGTTGCGAGTTAGCGAATGAAGCCTTTTGACTAGTTCAACTTGATCTCGTGTAGCAATCTTGTTAAAAATTGGTCACAATATGTAGAAATAGTTTCTAAAACTAAGGAAATATCAAAAGTCTAAAAAAACGTCAAAAAAGTATGTTATCTAAATGTTTTTCGAGTTTGAACTACCAGTTGAGTTGGAAGTTGCGAGTTAGCGAATGAAGCCTTTTGACTAGTCCAACTTGATCTATAATTTAAAAAACTTAGTTCTAAAATTAAATTCCTTATTTATTGAATCTTGTTTTGCAAGTTTTAGATATCTATTGGTGTTAAATAATTATTTATTGCAAGTTACCAAATTTATTAATAACCTCATTAAGTGAGGAATGCCGCTGATGTTTGTCAAGACAAGTTTCAAGTTATATTTTATATTTAGTATATGATCACAACTGTAATGTGCATTAGCACAATGAAGTTAACATATTTTTAAAAAAAAGTAAATTTTCCTGTTACAAAATGGCTGAAAGAAATAAACACAAAAAACAGATAACTTAATTTTCAACAGATTGACAGCACCTTTGTTTGTGGCATTGTGTACAAAAGATATCCCATTATCTGATAATAATTAAATATTGCTAGTAAATTCTTGTAGTTTACTTTTACAACCATTTTTGTGTCTAACCTCGTTTGTTTTGTATGTCAGGCATTTTTTGTCTTCTCCTATTTTCAGTACTGGAATTGTTGCTGACCAATATGATTAGAAAAGACCAAATACAGATTCATCATGTCATGAACAAACTTCATAGGTCAGTAAATTCTTACCTGTAATATTAGAATAACTGCAATCAGCAAAACATAATCGTCAAAACTAATGCTGTTCTTAATAATGACAGAAGACATTTCGTTTTGTGCATTTGAAAATCTGATAGCAGCTGGGTAATAATCATTGTTTGTGTAATTACTTAAGACCCAATTTTTATAGAATTGTATTCCTTTTGTAATTTCATGCTCTGAAAAATATTTGCTATTTATTATTTTACAAACTTAAGATGGCTGTTATATGTTTGTTTATTTTTACTACCTATTCCAGAAATTGGATTGCTCGTTTTGAACAGCTCAAACATCCTAAGTGTGTTGTAATGTAGGGAATAAAGGGCTGTTTTTCTATCCAGGCCGGAGAGCATCCTCATGTTAATTTTTCCAACACTTCCGCCTGGAATGGGCAAACCGAGTAAAATAGACAGTAAGGGTGTAAGATCGACTTGTTTCACTTCTTCATGGCTAAAAAGAAATGAAAAATTATGCTATCCCAAATGACAAACTACAATAAGAAAAATTCACCTAAAGCTTGGATCGCATTTATAATTGAGCAGAGCCAAAGGTACCAGCACTTCGGACAACGAAGTGCCCCCGTGTCCACCCGAGTCTTTCATGCCGTGGTCGCCGCATATCACCAAGATGCCCGGATTCGAAGGATCTTTTATCTTCAGCCCTGAGTCAATTTTAGCAATAATCCCATCCAATTCTAGCAGTTTAGGATTAACATGAGGACTGAACGGGCCATCGATGTGACCAATATGATCAAGCCCAAGATAATGGAGTATCATGATCTCCCAGTCGTTTGCTTCAAGTTCATGATCGATATGGCGTGTTATGTTGTCATCCACCTGTATGCATTAGGAAACATTGGCATTCTGGGAAAGAAGAAACTTTATATACTCTTGTCAGAATAAGATAATGTTTAAAATTATTAATTTGTACAAATTTATTTCCTGGAATTTTTTTTTTTTTTGTAAATTTGTATTAAAACTTAACTTTAATAGTGCTGGTTTAAAAGAATCATACTGACATAGGTTTACCTCCAAAAAATCACTGACATAGAAAGAAACCGTGCCTTCACTCCTCAAAAAACTATTTGGAAATAGTTTCAGCCATGTATCATCTCCATAAAACACCACCTTCAGATCAGAAGAAATTGCTTGTGAAACAATGTTGTCATCTTTAAGTATTTCACTGCCAAAATTGGCTATCACATCATAAAAGCTAGATATCGCCCCAGTCATTAACGCCTAGGGATCAAAAGACAATCAGAAATTCTCATTTAAAATATAAAATTTGTAATTAGTAATTACTTTAATTCTTGGCAGAGTTACTGTGGGTGGTTCGACTCTAGCCTTGAGAAGACAGTTGTTACGAAGTTGACTCGACAAATATGGCATGTTTTGCTCAGACTGAGGCCCATCAACAAAATCATACCGGAGTGCATCGATAACCATTAAAACAATCCGTGGTGTCCTTTGTTTATACAACTCTCTACGGGCCAACCTAAATAAAGTCTTAAGAAGAAATCCAAAACATAAATTTAAAAAAACTTACTTTAAATCGTCAACTCTTTCTGGAAGATCTTCTACACTGGAATGTGCACTAATAACTCTTTCAGGAAAAAATCCATAAAGGAAAATATATATGCCGATGAGGTACAAGAAGCACAAATAAATTATCAAACATTGCTCTTTAGGCATCATTTAAAAAAATTTATGCCCAATTTCATATTTTATTAACAAAACTAGCACCATGACCCTAGAAAAGAAAAACAACCTCAGGTATTGCATAAAATGAAATTAAACAAAACTTTCTTAAACAACTTAACAGTTTCAAGCTCCATATAGAGAGCATGTAGGAATGCCAATCATTTTTTTTTTTAATTAATTTATTTATTTTAACAGGGGTATTTCAACTACAAGTTTATGTGAATCCTCAGTGTGCCGGTCTTTTTGGGGGAAAAAAAAAGCCCATTTGTAAGTATGTTGGGTCCAAAGTTCAAATACAGGGACACTGGATTCAAACCCAGGACCTTTGCCTTACAGTGATAAGCGCCGTGTCAATGTCTAAACTGTTGCGGCCACCAACTCCCCCTGAAGAAATAGGGTTGTTTATTGGATATAATATTGGTAGTTTTGTGTCCCTAGTGAGAGTAAATGTATTTATTGGCATGAATGTATGTATGGGAGGGCGGTGGAATATTGAGTACCCCATCGACCCTCAATTAGGTTATTTATATAAGTGTAAATGTTCAAGGAGGAATATTGAGTACTCCCCAAGTATCCAAGTATACTCCCAGTATCCTATCTAATTAAAGTGTGCAATTCCTGGGCTCTATAATTAGGGCTCCTGTTCCAATTTTGTGGAAACAAGGTTGTTTATTGTAGATAATATTTATGCCCCAAGCATGAATGTATTTATTAGCATGAATGTTTAGTATGGTAACGCTGATGGCGGAATATTTGAGTACCCCATCGACCCTCAATTAGGTTATTTATATAAGTGTAAATGGGTATGGAGCAATATCGAGTACTCTACTCAGGGTCCCACATAAGTTAAGGGTGCAACTCCTTGGGCCTCTATAGAGAGAGCCACCCAATATGAGAATCGTGCATGAGCACAGCAGCAAGTATCTGAGTCCCCTGTTCCAAATTTTGGAGTAAAAGGGTTGTGTTATATTGTACAGTACTGATATTTTTATGTCCCCTAGCATACCAAGATACCAGGAACTGGAGGAGTTCTCCCTGAGCTCTGCAGCTGTATACAACAGCTTATTGTACGCCCCTAGCGTATAGAATATATTTGTTAGCATGAATGTGTATTGTGAGAGTGTTGATGGTGGAATACCTCATCGACCATCAATTAGGTTAGTTATATAATAGTAAAGGGTGATGGAGGAATATTGAGTACTATACTGCCATAAACAAATGATGGTACATAAATAGGAATGAATGTATTTAAAAATGAGTGAGTGAATTGGTTTGGTTTTAGGAAGTGATTGTGTTGGGGGCTGGAATGACCTAGCATTATCAGTACTTGGAGCCCAACCTCGGTGGCCGCATGTTTAAACAATAAAAGCAATTTAAAATTTTTTTTACAAAATTGTCCAAAACTACAGAAAATTGAAATTTAAAAAATTAATAATGGCTAAACTGAGTTTTAATTCATCAGTAAATTTGCTTGTTTTTGCCTCGTCTTCACCATGGCACGGCCCCTCCCACCACACTGTACTGTTTATACGGCGGGATTGTATGCAATTTGGCACCGGCTTGTGGTGATTTAAAACAGATGGTGGCTCTGTGTACCTGCTCTGCCATTGGTTGTCTCGGTACTCGGACATATAGGTCTGGAAGAGAAAAGGCGGACAAGGTGGCTAATATCGGGATGTCTCAACCTCCAGACTTAATCACTGTGATCCAGCCCTCTTAAGTTAAAAAAAATATAAATAAAATAAAAAAAAGATCAAAAGAAAGGGGCGTGTCGGTGGGCCAGATCAGCAGAGAAGCTTACACGTATACAGCACGGTTGAGCCATGCAAGGTTGACACACACTTTATGCTTGCTTGAACACTGAGAGCGAGTATCTGGGTCCCCCGTTCTGATTCTTGGAAGAAACAGGGTGGTTTTACTGTACATAGTGCTGATATTTTTGTTTCCTCTAGTGTGTTTTGAGAGTTAATGTATTTATTGGCGTGAATGCTTCCATTTTTATTAAATTAAAAACTTATATTACAACCTAAATAAATACATATTAACTAATGAAATACATGCTTTATAAACAAACTTATCAACAATCTGTTTTTAATATTTCTATTTCTATTAAAAAAAATACTTACACATCATTATTGAGTTAAGGATAATTGAATACTGTAGCCTTTTATTAACTTTACACATTTTTTAAAATTTTAATTTAAAGTTTTGAAGATAGTTCAATTGCTTAGTTCAGGGATCAAAACTTGAATTGAACGTTATCTCGAAATTATCTTTTGGAGGTTTCAAACGTTAACTTGGATTGAATTGACCGCCTCGAAACGTCTACAGTAAACATTGACGTCAATCGTGGAATAAAAATTATGTAATAATTAATATTCCATTGTGGTAAGCATAAGATCAAAGTCTTTCAACGTTTAAAAAAACATGTTTTCCTTTACTTTCCCAATAGTAAAAAAACAAATATTTCAAGATTATAAATTAGTAAAATTCATGATTTAGAATAATTAATTAAGCCCTTAATCTCGTTGCAATCTGACTAGTTGTGAGACAGCCTTCTCAAACACGATATCAGCCAAAAATTAGTATACTCTTATTGTTCTGCCTGATTTTTTCAATGCATTTGGCTTCATAAATCATAATTTTACTTATATGGAAGCTAATGCATTTTTTCACTTTCTTTTCTACTGCTACTAACCTTATGTCCTTCTGTCTGACAGAACTCAGAGTTAAAGCTATCTTCTCTTAAAGTTAAAGCAACATTCTACAGTCCCTTTTCTCTCAATTTCAGATTGTTTACACCAAGGTTCTATTCTTGGATATTTTCTATGTTCCTAAATAATCTTCCATAAAATTCTTCTAATGGGGTGAGACCAATGACCAGACTGCAAAGAAAGAAATACAGTCCCAAATGAACTATGCACAGCCTTGGGTCATGGCAGCAGGCACCATTCATACCATCCATTATCTCTGTGTCATAAATATTTTTATTTTTAATTGTGTTGTTTATTGGATTGAGTGTATTTATTTTCATGAATTCCCAATTACCCTAAGGAATATTGTTTATTATAGATATTATGGTGTATACATGTTATTTATTAGCGTAAATGGCAGGGTTTTACCCTGAGGAATACTCTGGAGTAGAGCGAATGCTAACCAGATTATTTATTAGGTTTTGTGTAAGTGCTTGTTATTTATGTCATTTTATCCACAATTGAAGAGGCCCTGAGAAACAGAGAAGCTAGCAATGTGAAAAGAAAAGAGATAGCTGGTGACCATTATATCATACATCATGACTTGATCTGGGAAACAGGAAAAGAAATTAGAAGAATAAAACAAGTGAAAAAGACAGGAAAATTGAGGGCTGGCAATGGTCAATGTAGTTTGCCCAATAAAAAAAAAAATATTTTCACATCAGTAAACACATAGTTTGTACAAAATAATTACTCCATTTATTACTTTCTTAGGTGCTACACTCTGCACACACTGTTTTACACTATTTTACTTTTAATAAATTTATTTATTACATTTATACATTTATTTATTTAAACTGATCAAATGAGGCTATCTATTAATTTTACAATTGCTAATAATTTATTGTAAATACCCTTTGGTTCACTCATTAGTGTCACAGTTTTTCTAGTTGAGCTCACCTCGTAACGTTTACAGAACTAACTCAAACGGCTTAGTCATCTTATAATGTGCCGACTATGTAGCAGGCCTTGGCCTCGGTTCGGGTGGCTTTGAAGATGAAGGTAGCGCTTTTTAGCATATCGCGTGATCTCCATGACACATTACTAAAAAACTAAATATAAATGTAAAATTTGACATAAATCTTTTTTCATATTGGTAAACCTATATTGTTTTCTATATATCAAATCTTCACTTGGGATCATTGTTTTATGTTATTTTTGTACATTTTGACATTCCAAGCCTAATTAAACCAAGCAAATGGGGGGGGATTTAATTTATTAAAAGTGAGCAGTAATATTTGCTCATTTTCCCATTAGTCAATGAATCATTCTTTTATACATAAAGAATTCACAATAAATAAAAATCATTCTTTATTTATTACTCTATTAGCTTATTCACTTTGCATAGATTCTCTCTTTTACTTTTTTATTTTCTGCTACTCTTTTTATTTCTCTTGGATTCGAATTCACTGTTTTACATGATTAAATGGCTTAAAATTCCAAGCTATAAGTAAGACAAGAAAATTGGAAAAAATGCATTTCATTTAATAAAATTTAGGACAAGTCCTAATTTTCCCATCAGTCAACTGATTTGTTTGTAAATTAAGTTTCCTTCTGTTAACATAAATTAAGTTCTTTTTGAGTTAATATTTCTAGCATATTATTGGAATTTTAAGCCATTTAATCATGTAAAACAGTGAATTCGAATCCAAGAGAAATAAAAAGAGTAGCAGAAAATAAAAAAGTAAAAGAGAGAATCTATGCAAAGTGAATAAGCTAATAGAGTAATAAATAAAGAATGATTTTTATTAACTCAATAAAGTAAAGCAAATGTTTTTCTATTTTAGTGCATAAACAAATTGTATTAAAAGAAAACGCTCAGAATGACCATGGCAATATTTTAAAATTTCTGTTACATTTGTTTGAATTTATGCTTGTTTTATTGTGAATTATTCTAATATAATACTTAGAAATAAATAGTTTAATAAATAATCATGCAATCTAATATTAATACTAATATTCTAAATCATTTATACAATTATTATTATTTTAATTTATAAAATTGTCTTAACAAAATGGCCGAATATCACTTAGGGTGTTGCCAAATTATGCTGAAAATTAGATTTTATGTTTTTGCTTCGGCCATTTACATTTTTACGTCGTTTTTAGTGACATTAAAGTAGAAAATTACTTTTGGATAATAAAAGTAATAAAAGAAATTTGGTAGGTGAGGATATAGACGAACTACCTACTTTTTCACCATGGTTCATGCAGGTGTCGCTGGTGGTTGGCCTAGGGTCGGTGTTTTGTTGACGGAGGTTATCGACTATCGTTATGGAAACGGATATGTTTTGTCGGAAAAGTCTTTTTTCCCGCTGGCCCTAAATGGAAGACGGCGGCCTTCTTCCTTGAGGATGAAACCTTTGCCGTTCACAGGTTGACCTCAGTTTGCAGAAATCTAATATGTCATACGAAAAGGTGAGGCTTTTATTTTTAAATATTTCGACGCACTACCGTTGTCATTAGTCAAGTCGAAGAGAAAAAGAAAGACACCGGCACTGCAGAACGTCACAATGAAAAATTAGATGTAGATTTAGGGAGAAATGTAACAATGATCTAGCTGGCACAATTCCAAATTTTTAAAATCATGTTAATACATATTTCTGTATATTTTGTTATATTTAAAATAAAAACACTGGTATATTAAAAGACTTAATAATTAACTTCAGATAGGATCTCTGTCGGATGATCCTATCCGTCAAAGTTTTCAATTTATTATTGCGCACAATTATCATGCAAATTTGTTGTAGACTTAGGAAGAAATGCAACAATGATCTAACTGGCACAAATCCAAATTTCTATTTTTTAAAATCATGTTACTACATATTTCTCTATATTTTGTTATATTTAAAATAAAAACACTGATATATTAAGACTTAATAATTGACTTCAGATAGGGCCTGTGTTGGATGATCCTATTGGTCAAATTTTTCAATTTATTATTGCGCACAATTATCATGCAAATTTGTTGTAGACTTAGGAAGAAATGCAACAATGATCTAGCTGGCACAAATCCAAATTTCTATTTTTTAAAAAATCATGTTACTACATATTTCTCTACATTTTGTTATATTTACAATAAAAACACTGATATATTAAATGACTTAATAATTGACTTCAGATAGGGCCTCTGTCGGATGATCCTATCCGTCAAATTTCTCAATTTATTATTGCGCACAATTATCATGCAAATTTGTTTTAGATTTAGGTAGAAATGAAACAATGATATCCAAATTTCAATTTTTTTAAAAAATGTTAATATGTACATACTTCTGTACATTTTGTAATATTAAAAAAAAACATTGTTATATTAAATGACTTAATAATAAATAACTTCAGATAGAATCTCGGAATGATGATCCTATTGGTCAAATTATTCAATTTGCTGTTTTGTTGCGCACAATTATCTCTCAAATTAACTTATTTATTGGTTTTATTTAAATTATTTTAGTTGGTTCCGACATCTGTAGTTATCATTTTTTATGATTCTTTCTTCCTCTTCCTAAAAAATTGTTTAAGGTGAAGAATTTTCTAAGAGACACCCGGTGTTTTTCAAAAACAGGTTATTTTTATTATTAGTAAAGCCCATTATCAGTAAATCCTACAAGGAGTACAGTCAATTATTTCATATTTCAACAGTAGCAATTAATATTATTTTCATAGTTTACGTGTTTATTTTTATTTTATGGTTAAATAAATGATCATTTCCTGGCAGTCTCGCCTACTCTCCCATTGCATTTTTTTCCTTAAAAATAGCTCACTCATCTTAAAAAACATTTTAGGAAGAGGAAAAAAGGTAAAAAAGTTATTTATTTGTTGATAAATCAAATGCAGCTTAAAGTATTTGCACGTGCCACTATCATGGGTCAGGATGATGAGAAATCTGTGACAACAGATTAAGAGATTTGTTGTAGATTAAGGGTAAGATGCAACAATAATCTACTTGGTACTAGTCTGCAAATTTTTATACACTATATTAATATGATAATTGTCTCATTTCAATAAATAATTTCTTAATTAATTAATTTTTTTAGGAGTTGTTCAGGCTGGATCAACCCCATGGGGATGGTGAGCTGTATTTTGCCTGGCAAAAAGGAAACGGTGTTTACTTGGCCACTGTTGGGAATGATTATTCTGTTGCCATATTTAACAGGCAGGGGAAAGTCCACGAAAGAATTAAACTACCTGGGTGAGTATTGATAATTGATTAATTTATTTTTGTCAAATTAAAAAAAATCTGATTATCCTAATCTGTTTAGCTGATCTTGTCTGTCAGATATGTTTTAGCATTGCACTATCTTCAGTTAGCTTTAAGAGAAAAGTTATGAAAATGCAAACAATAATCATTCATGCGCAAAAATTATTCCATTAAAAACACCAAATAACATCAAAATAAAACAAACTGATTGATAAAATTATTGATCAGTACAAACATTGAATAAATCAAATTTAATTCCTCAATAAATGAATGATGCCGATAGAAAAAAAAAAAATAATTCTACCACATATTTTCGTATGTTACAAACTAATAAGGGGCGTCAGTTGCCACAACAGTTTAGGTGTTGACACAGTGCTCATCACTTTAAAGGACGATATATACCAACCCATAGTGTGTCCAGCATACCGGTTAAGACGGAAAAAAAAAATGGTTACATGTATTATCTATATAAGTTCTACAGGAATTGAGTGGAATTGGCTTGTACACAGTGGCGTTAGTGACTGTTTTGGAGTATTTAAAAAATATGTCTTAATAGTCTAACTAGCTCATTGTAGAGGGTGTCAAATTCTTTTTAGTTATTTTATTTTTTAATTCAATGGATAGATGCACAGCAAATCTACTTTTACCAGTGTAGGGTCTCCCTTAGGTATGGCTGGGAAGGAGAAGGGTTAAAAAAAGCAGGTTGGTTTATTTGAATCGACATTAAGATAAAGTGTGTAGTGATTAGTGACCATTCGTCGATGATTATTCGGAAATTGTGAGATGTGGTTTAGTGTGACATAGGTTTTAGAAAAACATTTTCTTTATCGTGCCAACTTTTCGATCTTTATTGAGATCATCTTCAGGGACTGGGATTTACAAACATTTAAATTTAACAAATACAATATTTGTATAAAATATTTGTTAAATTTAAATAATGCTTGTAAATCCCAGGCCCTGAAGATGATCTCAATAAAGATCGAAACGTTGGCATGATAAAGAAAATGTTTTTCTAAAACCTACCAACCAGACTAAAACCAGACCACATCTCACGATTTCTGAATAATTAAGGTAAAGGAACCAGGTTAAAATCGGGCGGCTTTGAATTCGAAACAGACAAATGCACAAATGGGCCTTTTTTTCAAAAACACCAGTACTCTAAGGGTTCATATAACCTCATACAAAATAGCCTTGTTAAAAATTTAAAAAAAAATGTAAAGCATGTAAATTAAAAAAAGAAAAAAGAACTTACATAAGCCAAAAAGCATACAGATCAACCACTAAATTTGGACAAACGCTTAAAAATAAAAAACCTCGAGATTAGGATGTTTGGAGATACAACATACAGATCGGATGCTGTCGTAGACAACAATATTTTAATACATACAAAAAGTTATTTTTTTGTTTGTTTTAGACAGTGCACAGGTTTTGGCTGGGACTGTGATGGAGATTTATTGGGTCTCATTTGCGATGGATCATTTTCAATTTTATTTTGGGATTCAAATACTGGGAAAAAGTTTCCAATAGACACAGGTCTAAGGGATAGTTTAACCGTTATATCATGGGCTTTGAATGAACCAATTGTGGCTGTTGGGAGTGCTAGGGGAAACCTTGCCATTTATAATCACCGAACTTCTAAGTAAATTTATTCATTTTATTGTTTATTATTTAATAACTAACAACTTTTGACATTTAAAAAAATAAACTAGGAGGATTCCAGTGCTAGGAAAGCACAGCAAAAGAATCGTTACTGCCGCTTGGGGTAGTACGAATGTCTTGGCTTTGGGGTCTGAGGACAGAACGATATCAATAAACAATTCTGACGGGGACACTTTAAAGATGTTCCAGCTGTCGGCAGATCCATCTGCCCTGCAGTTCACCCAATTTCAATCCGATGACAGATCATCTCCTGATACGATGGTAACAAACTTGAAAGTTTTTGTGCCACGGTCTTTGTGCTTATTTATTTATATTTTTTAAATGTGCAATGCATTCAATTATTCCAGGTTAGTCTAATAGTCGGTAAAAAGATGTTACTTATTTACAATCTGCAAGAACCCGATGATCCTATTAAACTGGCCTTTGAACCAGTTTATGGAAATATTGTAGCTTATGAATGGTAAGTGATTCTTTCCTATAGGTTAAATTAAATTTAGATATTAATTTTATGCTTTAATTACTAATTAACAAAATAAAATACTGTTGAAATAGTACACTAAGCAATAGATCAATTGTCACTTGCATTAATAAACCAAATAAAATGTTATTTTATGGAAACTAAGATGCATCTTGAAATGTGTACTGCCTAGAATTTCTGAATAGATTATGAATAAAGTGTTGGATTTCTGGAAATGATTAAAAATTATTTGAAATTTCATTTGAAAAATAATTAATAATGTTTGCTGGGGGCGTTGGTGGCCGCATGGTTAAGGCATTGACACGGCGCTCATTACTGTAAGTTAAAAATCCTGTATAAAAAAAGTGTATTTATAAGTATGTCAGGTTTGAATGCAGGGCCGCTGGATTCAAACCCGACATACTTACAAATGGGCTTTTTTTTAACAAAAACACCAGCACTCTGCTGGCATGAACCCTATTGCAGGAATTTATTTAGATAACAAAAAATAAAATATTTAATTTTTTGCATTATTCTTGGTGGCTCTTTAATACCCAAGACAAGATTTGTATTAAATTTACGAAAAAGATAGCACATCTTAACACACGACAAGTTCATACTGGGTATTAATTTATATAATTACCTTAAACTCTTATGATCTCTTATTTACTTATTTAAAATTTAAAATAACCTCTGACCATCATACTTATTCTTTATTATTATAAAAAGCTTCCATCATAGATCCAAATCTATGAATGATTCTATCCCTTTCACGGCATATTAGGTTGGCCTACCCCCTGTGTGCTTTCAGGCATGAAGCTTCCAATTTTTTTGTGCAAACAATCCATGATTTGATCAAACTAGCATGATTTAACATGATCTTGTTGCTATTCTCTTTTTCTTCTTCTTTTGTACTTTTTTTTATGTACTTCTTTCCTTCATTTATATTCAACTATATTATTATTTTTTGTGATTTTTTAAAAATAAATATATTTCTATTTCTAATTTAATTTAGTATTGTTAAAAGGTTTGCAACTTGGCTTTAGCAAATTGGCTGCAAAGCTTTATATACTAAAATGTTTCTTTGGCCTGAATTTGTTTTTGGGTTTTTCTATTTTTACCCAAATGCCTATAAATTTGAAATAATTTATCTTATAAACTTTTCAAAAATTGAATTGATATACTCACTCCATCATAATCATTGTTTTATACATTTCTGTTTTTTAATTAAATGAAATTAACCATTTACACATGTGAGACTTTTGCCTCTAGAAGTAATTTTACATCTGGGTGTGAGGGTTCTCACATATTGCGAGTTTTATTTATTTTATTTTATTTTTTTTTTTTTGGGCGGTAAATGAATTTTTCCACATGAGCTTGGGGGGACCGTGAATTTTGAGGACCTGGCCCTCATGACTCAGGGCCGAGTGAAGACTCAATAACCGAATCTCGAAAAATTTAAAATCTGAAAATTCAAAATTTATGAAAATTCAAAATCTCGAATCTCTATTAGCTTCATAGAACTGTGTGGGTATTATTCATTATAGTGTGAAAATAACGAAGGCCTAATTTTTCATGCCATCGTTTTTTTTTCACATGAATAAAGTGCTATTGTTTGGCCGGAATTGTGTTTGCTCTGTGTATGCACTCTAAAAATCCACTTATTCTATAGTCATTTTCAATGGTAAACCCATTCCATCCTCTGATATTGTGTGCTACCCGGAACTGTACATTAATAAAAGTCCAATGTGGAAGCCATATAAACAGCTGAAAAGGCACGAATCTTAATCAATGCTATAAATTACTCTTTAAGTTAGATGATCATTTACAAGACTCACCTTAGACTAATATGGGCATATGTGTGGAATTGAAGTTTATCAACGAAAAAATTCAATTCCTATAAAATCCTATCCGTCCATTTAAAAATTTAAGAAAAATATTAAGTTTTCCTTTCTGCGTTTCAAACCAAACAATCCACAATGACCTCCACATCCTATTTGTACCTGACTTTATGAAATCCCAGTACAAAAACTTTGACAAAAATTTAAACCTTTACCCCATCCAACAGTTTTCTTGACCCAACATTCCTGGAAATCAAACATGTCATTTAAAGTGATTGTTGGCTGAGAGATCTCTTGAGAGATTGATTGCCTCAATGTGAGAGAGTGTTACTGTTGGGTGACTTCTTTGTAACACGCTAAATTTCATTGTGCCAATTATCACATCATATTTGTTTGTTACGACTAAAAATTGCAGTTGTAAAATTCATTTTTTTTTCTTTTTTGATGATAAAAGTTTAATATACCTTCATCTTCTCAGACATGTGAAGGCTTCACAGTTGACTTGCTAGAACAGTCATAAATGGCAAAGAAATTCGTAATGTATAAATAAAAACAAAATTCTAATGTAATGTTCATTTTAGGTATAAGGATGGTTATATACTCCTTGGATTCAGTGCTGGTTACTTGGTATGTACTTCTACTAACGCCAAGGAACTTGGAAAGGAGTTGTTCCAAATGAAAAACCACCATATAAGACTTTCATACCTTTCAATCTGTTCAGTACTTTCCAAAGTCGCTACTTGCGGTGACAACAAGTTAGTTGTTACATATTAATATTTATTTGTTTTAATTTTTTCATATAGAAAGTCATTTTGTTTGTAGTGTCAAAATTCACGAGTTGAAAAACCTATCAGATGTCACAGCTATAATAACTTTGTCTGATGAATCTGGAGTTGATCGCGTCGGTTGGAGCGATGACGGCCAGCTCATTTGTGTGGCTACCAACACGGGTTCCGCTGTCGTTTACGTTTCCAGATTGGCGAGGCTGTACGCTTGCCATACAAATGTCATAGCAATTTTGACTAGTCTTTCTCATATTACAGTGTTTCTGGTCAAGGTTTGTTTTATGTGATTGCCCCTTATTCTTTGATAATTTTTTTCGAAATAGAAAATTTTATAAATGTTACATGTATCTTATTTAGGAAAAATCTATACCTGCTGTTCATATTTGGACAGAAGTAGAACCAAGCCTACTAGCCGTCGGCCCTTACCACCTTGTTGTCGGCATGAACAACAGAACTTGGATCTACGATTTAAACGGTGATCCGCCTATGCCCTCTGGAGAGCCTATGCAATCTCTTTCCTCGACTCCCTCACTTCTTGGAGATAGAGAATACATGGGAAATGTAACTAACATTCATTTAAATGCTGAGTATACAGCAGCCTTATTTGCAGGGAAACTTCATTTACACCTAGTAAGTCCTATTTTGTAATTAATATATTTTATTTATTTATATACTTTTTATATTAGACTGAAAGTGGAACTGGAAGGAGTTCAGGACGCATAACTGAAGAAAAGGAAATGAAAATATTTCCAGAACCAGGGGAACAAATGAACATTACTTGTCATGCTTTGACCACTGATTTTCTGGTTTATGCTTCAGATGTAAGTATCTCTAACATTTAACTGATGGTCTCTAATGTCAAGTTTTTCCAATAGTCTTAGAAAGTTCTTGTTTATCATGCCTAAAAATTATTTTATCTCCTAAGCTCTTTATCACAAAATACTTCCCCCCTACTAATCCTATGGTATATTTAAAAACAGTATTAATATTTTTTGGCTTCTTTATACATTTTTTTCTAACTTGACAAGTTTTTTAAATGGCCTTACGGTCTTTCCATATAATTTTGGGGGAAGGGGTGTGAAAAAAGTCCTGGGGCAACAGGAATTGAACCCGAGACTGCGGGTCTTTACGAGCCAAGAGCCCATCACACTAACCGCTAACTGTTACCGTGGTCCCCAACTTTAAAACATTAATAAACATTTTTGCATGGTTTTTGGTATTTCCCGAGGCTTGGATCAGTTACAAAAAAAAAAAAAAATTAATAAATTTAAAATTTAATAATTTCATTTAAAAATTTTATTATCAGTTATACACACTGGGATTCTTGAGTCTCTACTTTTCATAATTGGGTGTTCTACTCCTTCTTTCTCCAGATCCTGGTAGAATTTATTTCTGGCCGACGAATGTTGGCTGCAGTGAAACATTATGTGCGTTAGGGGGTCCCTAGGGCTCCACATGTGTCGCAATTAGGGTTTTATGCCAATCTTGTGAAGATATGCTGCGAAGATGCCATGGTTTGTTCTTAACCGATGTCTGGTGGTTATGTCTTTTTTTGCCATGTCTAGCTTGTTAAACCACGGTTTTATTTTCACAAGTGGAAATAATGTTTTAATGGCCATTCCCTTATCCGAGGCAGAATATTCAATTTGCTATTCTATTTGAATTTTTGTTTCCAATATTTGAAAAAGGTCTGTATAAGGGATCTTTATGATTTCTAGGGGTGGGTAACTGTGTGGCATTTTTTGCAAGTTTGTTATCTTTTTCATTGCCATATATGCCCATATGTCCTTTAATCCACACGAAAGAGAACTTTTTTTGTAAAAGTGGAAAAATTGTTAACAGTCTTTTTTTAATGTCAGCTACAATATAATTTTTGATGTTAGTAGATGTGTTTTGCAAGCACTGGATTGCACTGAGGCTGTCTGTGCAAATTATAATGTGATTCGTTGTAGGAAGGTGAGTGTAAAGAAAGTTAGCGCTGCCTCAATTGCTAATAATTCTGCTGAATAAATTGATATCTCTGCTGGCAGAGGAATTGATTCCCCTTTATTGATGCTAGGGCAGAACCAGGAGCATCCAACATGATCAGACACGAGGGATCCATCGGTGTAAACAGTTAAATGGTCATTAGGGAAAAGTTCCTGAAGATCAGCATGCACTTGTTGATTTTCCGCTTTGGGATTTTGTCCGGAGTAGTCTTTTAGTATAATGGCCATTAAGGGGATTTCTAATTATTTTTAGTTCTATAGAGAAAATTGGAAGGGTATCTCTTTGTTCGATTTTTTCTTGAAATTTTGACAGAGAGGTAAAACTCATGGTAATCGGTGGAGGTTTTTTCCTTTGCCAAGCTTTATTTTGTTAGATTCATTATGGACAAATCACGCGCTGAGCAAGTGGTGTTTTTTTCACCATTTGGCGCAACACAAACCGTCCTGCCAGTTTTTCTCTTCTATGTGAAAGTGGCTGATCATTCAGCTTTGATGACATCATTGGGGGTGCTCTTAAGAGACCCCATACAAGTTTTCAGAGATTTGTGCTATGATGTCCAATTTCTTTAATTTTGATCTAGAAGCTTGTCTGTAATAAATTGATCCAAACTCAATTATAGATCTAATTGTTGCTTTGTAGTAAAGTAAGCTGATTGTAGGGTTAGCATATCCTGTTTAGTGACTGGGAGTTTTGTGGCGACGAGGTGAAGTCGCAAGCTAGATATGCTGGCTTCACCTTGTCTATGGATACGGTGGTTTCCCTGTCTTCCAGTCGTATTCGTATTGTCTTCTTGCTTCATGCTAGGACTTCATATGGTCCCTCGTAAGGCGGTGTGAGGGTGCGCCATATTCCTTCAACCTTCAAATAAACATGGCTGCATGTCGTGAGGTCTTTAGGGATGAATCATGTTCTGGCCGGTCTCCGCCGTTCTGGCCTTACTAGGGCCATACTCTCTTGGAGTTCTCGTATGTAGGTGTCATGATCTCTTGATTCTTCTGATGGCACGAGGAAGTCTAGTAGACATAGGTTTGTTCCATAGATAATTTGGGCAGGGCTGTGTTTCTCGGTATTGAGAGTGGAGCGGATACCCAGTAGGACAATTGGTAGGTGTTTTGTCCAGCTGTGTTGAGCCTGTCTTGCCATAAGCGCAGCTTTTAGTGTTCGAATCTTTCGACTCGTCCATTCGCCTGTGGGTGGTATGGAGTTGTCCTGATACGTTCCACTCCGAGCAAGGCTGAAAGTTGGGGGAAGAGGTTAGATTCAAACTGCCGTCCTTGGTCCGTAGTCAGGCAGTGACGGAGTTTTGTGGCCCTGAGAAGGGCCGGTGTTGTGTTGAGAGAAGCCGTGACAAAGGTATGAGGCTGAGACCATGCGAGTGGCACCGTTGGTTGTGGTGTGTGACAGAGTAAACTGTTGGCTGAGGTCCAGTGGGCTGTGAGTTGGTTGACTCCCCATAGGCCGAAGGTACTGGAGTGCAACAATTAGCCGAGGGGAGCAGTTAGCGTTAATGGCCAAGTCGGCGCTTAGAAGGCGAGATCATGCTAATGCTGCGAGTACTTGCTGTCGTCGATGGTGTTACATTAGTGATGGTTGAGATCTCGTCGGGTTGACGAGTCTCCTTCCAGCGAGGCAGTGCCCCTGCTTATATAGGGAAGAGCTCTACATAATTGATAAGTGTTGAATATTTTATCAGTGTTAAATGCCTGATTTTTTTGCTTTTAGCTCGGAGATATTAGACTGTTTGGATTAGATGATTGGAAGTTAATCAGAGAATATAAGCATTCCATTTCTATAAAAGGCCTTTATTCGGATTTGGTAGCGACTAGAGTCATTATAATTGACAACAAGATGGAAGGCTACCTATATTCGCCTGTTCATAATGAAATGGTGCTTATACCAGAATTTCCCACCACAACGACTGGTGCGCTGTGGGACCAGTGCCCGGCTGACAGAAATGTTTTTATCGCCTTCGACAGTACAACCGTCTATACGTTCGTTCACATCAGGGATTCAATAGATGGTAAGTTAACGACCGGTAGATTTTAAATGATTTTGTAATTTTGTTTATTATTTTAGGACCGAAGATCGAAAAGGTTGGAGAGACGAAACTGCCAGTCGATCAAATTCCTTTGCTTCTTCAAAGAGGTTCGATAACTTTGCAGACCCCGGGCGGAAAACTGACCAATCTCATGTTAACGACTCATAGCAATTCTTCTTCAATAATTCACAGCCAAGGTGATACAATGAAGGCTACCCTTGAAAGACACATTGCATTGTTGAGGTAAGTGTAATTAGAATTACATTAATTTGCAATAATTAAATGTAATTAAATATAAGTTTAATAAAGTACGGTAGTGAAATAATAAACATAATAATAAGTATCATTGTGTAATAATCCCTTGGTTAAGTACATTTTAATTGAAAAAAAAAAAAAAAAAAAAAATTACAGGTACAATGATGCATGGAATACATGCTTGATTCTTAATAACAAGGAGGATTGGTTAAAACTTGGAAATGCTGCCTTGAGGAACTTAGATGTTGAAACTGGTATGCTAATTTTAATTATTTTTTGTTTATTTTAAACAATCAGAAAATATCACTCGAATATCCTTGTACGGAATTTAATTTTTTCAGCATTGAAGGTTTTTAGACACATTGGAGACATCGGGATGGTTACATCTCTTCAGAGTATCCAACACATTGAAAATAAAAAATTAATCTCCGGACATATTGCAGAGATACTCGGCGAATTTGATAAAGCACAAGTTGGTTGATGATTATCTGTCGAATTTATGCTGTTTATGTACAATTTTATTTATTTATTTTTTAAGACGCTCTATCTTGAGTCGAGTGAACCTATTCAGGCACTAGTCATGAGGCAAAACCTTCTGCAATGGGATCAGGCGTTACAACTAGCAAGAAATCTTGCTCCTGAACAAGTCCCCTCTACATCTTTAGAATATGCAAACCAATTAGAATTAATGTAAGAACTTTTTAACTTTCTTTTACACATTGAATGCTTTTATTTTGTTTGGGTTTATAAGCTAAAATATTTACAGGGGAAACCATGTTGAATCTTTGGTACATTTTGAGAGAGCAATTGTTGACAATCCGATTAGCATACCTGAGATTGATATCCATAATGAAAAATGTCGTTCTGGAATCGCAAGAACATCCCTAAGAGTAGGAGATTATAGGAGGGGAATGGCCATTGCTAATGATCCAAATTGTCCTGCGCCATTGAAACTCCAGTGCGCTGAAATAATGGAATCTCTCAAGGTATATTAATATTGAAACTATCTGCGTGAAACTTCACTGATGTAATTATCACATTCAGAAGCACAACGAAGCTGCGTTACTGTATGAAAGTACCGGGAACTTTGACAAAGCTGCAGCATGTTATATAAGTTTGAAAAACTGGAAAAAAGTCGGACAACTTTTGCCTGAGATTTCTGATATGAAAATATACAAACAATATGCTAAGGTATTAGTATAATTTATGTTTTGCAATGTTGAATTTTAAAATTTAAATTTTGAAAGGCCAAGGAGTCGGACAGTGATTATCAAGCTGCAGCCCAGGCTTATCACGCTGCCGGTGATGTTGAAAATGTCGTCAGGCTTCTTATAGAAAAATTAAACCAGCCTCAAAAAGCCGTGGCTTTTGTTCAAGAGAGCAGAAATATCGAAGCCGCAAAGAGGGTCGCAAAGTAATTATAAAACTAAAAACTCTTAGTACTGAAATTATCATCAATATTATTGTAGGTTTTTTGAGAAAATAGGAGATTATGCTTCAGCGTTAAAATTTCTTGTCATGTCCCGGTCGGAAAACGAAGCGCTACGGCTGTGCAAGGAACATGGTTTAGTTGAACTTTACGCTAACATTGTCACAGAAGAAATGGGAGGGAGTGAAGAAGGTGAACGACAACTCTCGGCACTGGCCGCCCACTTTGAACACCAAGGAAATTTAATGCTGGCTGCTAAATGTTATTACCACGCTGCACAATTTAACAAGGCTTGTATTTTGTCTATTTAGTTTCCTTCATTTCTGGATAATTAAATTGAATAAAAGATTATGGTTTTATTTACAGGCTTTAAGAACATTGATTAACATAGCAAAAGGAGACCCTAATAATCAGGAAGCTATAATATTGGCCATCGAAGTTGTAGGTGCTGCAAATGATGATGTAATGGCTAACCAACTTATCGAGCTCCTTTTGGGTGATTTAGATGGTGAAGCTCGAGTAAGTACTATGATTTAAAGATAGGGCTTCATTGATCACACACATTTTTTTTTCTTTAGGATCCAAAGTATGTTTTTAAATTATATCGTGCAAGAAAACAGTATCGAGAAGCTGCAAAAACTGCCATTATTATTGCCAATGAAGAACTTGCTAATGGTACAGTTATAATTATTTTATTTTAAAAAATCTTGTTTTATCTCGAGCTATTTTTTAATTTAGGGAATTATAGTGTTGCGCATTCAGTTTTGTTGGGCATGTGTATGGATCTACATGACAACGGTTTGCCTGTAACAACAGAGCTTATGACCCTTTTGACTCTGCTTCATTCATACAGGCTAGTAAGGTTGCACGTGAAGAGAGGAGACCATTACAAAGCAGCCAGAATGCTTCTTAGAGTCGCAGATAACATATCTAAATTTCCTGCCCGTAAGTTACCGTCATTTTCATTCAGACGAGATAAAAGACAATATATGATTTACAGATGTTGTGCCTATTCTGACATCTACGGTGATTGAGTGTCACCGTGCAGATTTAAAAGGAGCAGCGTTCAACTATGCTGCGATGCTCATGAGACCAGAACACAAGTCGAAGGTAAATCTAGTTCAGCACTTTGTATCTTACTGTATTTTAAACCCCCCAAAAATTTCAGATTGAAGAAAAATACTTGAAAAAACTTGAGAGTGTTGTAAGGAAACCACCGAAAGGTCCGGATAATAAAATCGCAATTGACAAGCCTGAAGAAACTTCTCCTTGCCCTTATTGCGATTATGATTTGATGGAATCCCAACTTACTTGTCCTCAGTGCAGAAATAATATACCTTTCTGTATAGCAACAGTGAGTTGATTTTCTTTTCATTTATCTGTACACTCATTTATGAATATACAATTTAAAATTAATTATTTAAAATAATTAAAATTTTCTTTCAGGGCCGTCATATTGTAAAAGACGATTTTACTGTTTGTCCAAATTGTCAGTTCCCAGGAATCAAATCAGAACTATTAAGGTACTGAATAGATTTAAACTATAGTACTTTTTAAACATTGGGTTGTAAAATAACTAAATAGCATTTTTTTCATACTTTGATCTATCACTTTTGTGTTTTGAATAATTTACTCATTATTGTTTGCATACTCTTAAAGGGGATTAATGAAGGTATTTTTATTTGTCAGTTTCATTTGAGATCTTGTATTCTTACCAGGTGTTTTGCTCATTTTAATTGGAGGGAAAAATAATGCATTTTCATCATTTAATTTTTTTTTATTTCTGCTGTGCATGGAGATGAGTGATAATGCTTTAGGAAAAAGCACCATCCATAAGCGATTTGCTCAGTTTAGAAGCGGGAATTTTGATTTGGAAGATGCAAAGTGCTCTGATCATCCTTCAACTGTTGATAATGATCAAATTCAAGTTTTTGTCACAAATAGCCTGCATACAACATAATAAGAGATCATAAAATATCTTAGAGCATCATGTTTGTCGGTGTGATATATGGGTTCCTCAATGTTAATTTAAAATAATTTATTGGACCGCAGATGCATCTGTGATTTTCTCCTAAAACTCGTAGTAAATGGTCCAATTTTAAAAAAGATTGATAGCTTGAGATGAAAATTGGGTCCTTTATAACAATGTTCAGAGGGGAAAAATCGTAGAGAAAATGCAGTGACCCACCAATCAACAACTTGCAAAGCTAGATTACATCTCAATCTACATTCAGTGAGAGTGGGGGTGCTTTATTATGAGCTTCTACCCATCCAAACCGCTATCTCTAGTGTATATTGCACAAATTTGGAGCAGTGTCAACAAATGACCAAAAATGACAGGTATAGGATAACACTCACCCCACATGTCTCTCCAGACGTGGCAGAAATTGGGGCTTGTCTGAGGATGCGCTTCTCCGCCCCACCCACTGCATTCGCCTGACATTGTCTCTTCAGATTTTCACTTATTCCGGGCTCTGAAAAACATTATTAATGGGGAAACTGAATTCACTTATTGCAAAAAACACACTGAAGAGTTTATTGTTCAAAAACCTGAAAAGTTCTAGGAAGAGGGAATTACAAAATTATATGGAAGATGGCAACAGGTAGGAGAACAAGTGGTTAGTCGATTAACTTTGTTTACCTGAAATTTAGACTTATTTTACAACCCAATATTATCATTTCATTAAGCCAATTTGTTTGTCATTTATTATGCACAACACGATTCCATTCTAAAGGAACTTTTCTCACAGTGTCAATAAATTATTCAATCTTCCTTTATATTCATTAGGTGTCTCTCGACTACAAATGTTTAATTTGTATAAATAATTAATCACTTTTGCCGTTGGGTTTGCAGTTTGTTGGAGTCTGGAGTCAGATGTCCGATGTGCAATGAAAAAATCAATCCCGATGAGCTGAGGGTCGAGATTGACTTCGAATCGTATTTATCTCAGATCAACGATGATTAAATCGATTAAAAATACTAGTATTAAACAAAATACATATATTTCAAAAAAGCACCCTTATATGAGGTGTAAATTGGTAATTATCAATTTTTGTTGATTTATAAACTGTTTTTATGTTTTGCTGCCAAACTGCAATTTTTGTTGCCATGCAAGTGCCTTATAAAAGTAATAAGCTGGTTGTTAAATATTTTTTGATCTCATTTTATTACTTTATTGTAGATCTCATTTTTCTATTTTGAAATGGCTCTTTATTATTGTAAATAATTTTACCACTGAAGACCAAAATAATTATGAAAATAAAATCTCACATTCCGTCCAGTAGGCTGTACTTATGTTAGTTACTTAGTAAACTATTTACTATTTATTGTGATATGTAGTATTGACATTGTAGTATATTTTTTTTTGAGTGATTGAATAAAACATCATTCATTTTACTGGATTTAATTTTAAAACCCAACAACTGCTATTTGAAACTTTAATCAACAAAAGACTTATGTGGAAGTTAATTGTCTCAAAATAATAGAACCGAACAAATGAAAAAAACTAGATACTTAAAAGACTGACTACTTGACAACAGATCGAAACTTATTACAAAACAAACACCTCAGCTACACATCATTACTACGCTGATGACTCGTTACTGGACTTGGCGAGCAAATAAGTCTGAATGAGACAATTCATCAAAAGGCCTGGGGAGAACATACGTTTCCATTAGACCACTTGCCACTGGGTGGAGGGGGGAGCGTATAAGCCCCTGAACTATACAACTCAACATTGGGCCTGGGAAACATATAAGCCCGAATGAGACAACTTGCACTGGGCTTGGGAAGCATATAAGCCCGAATGAGAAAATATGTTACAAGGCCTGGGGAGAACATAAGTTTCCATAAGACCACTCGCCACTGGGTTGGGGGGAACATATAAGCCCCCGTACTATACAACTCAATATTGGGCCTGGGAAACATATAAGTTCAAATAAGACAACTCGTCACTGGGCCTTGGAAGCATATAAGCCCATATGAGAAAATACGTCACAAGGCCTGGGGAGCATATAAGTTTGAACAAGACAACTAGTCACTAGTCCTGAAAAAGATATATCCCATTTGTCTTTGAAATTGCAAGAAGTCGATAAAGATGCCGTCATAAAACCAAGACCTTCATGCCAACCCCCTAGTTAGCACCTTTTATCCACACCCTTTCTGACAATCCTCAAAGTCTACTAAAACACCACAATTTCACCATTTCCTCCCTAGTGAGGAAAGTGAATAAGAGTGTAATTAATGGATTTCTAAAAACAACAAAGTTGCTCTGACATAATATAATAAACAAATAGAAATAAAAATAATAATTTAAAAATTTATGAACTCATCAAAACCTGCTATAAAAAATGAACTTCTCAAAACCCGCTATACAAAATTTTATCAATCAATAAACACACTAATCTATTAGTACATCAATTCCAACCCTATCTGAAAATCCTCCACGACGATTGAAGTGGAAGTGGCCCAAAGACTTTCTGATTGAGTGAAGATTGAAAAGATTTCAGTGTGAAGGAGTGTTGCTATTGGGCAACTTTTACAAGAGGCTCAAATGATGAATTCAACTTTTATGAACATATTTACTGAATACAATATTTGTAGTTGTAAATATCAAATAAATGTATTTAAAAAATTAATTGTGCCAGGAATGAATTGTACTTGAAGAACAAAGATTGACATTCAAACTTCTTTATTTAGCTAAATAATGTTAATCATAATTGTGGCAATGCAGTTTTTAATATAAAATTATACATTTCTACAGGAACAAATGCTACTTACATTATATACAATTTTTTATATATTTACTAGATATCCACAGATAAAAAAAAAAACAATAATTAGACAGTGACAGTTCTATGCATTAAGTCTTATTCATAATACACGTTTCAAATTTTTCAAAATGAAATTAGCTGCCTTTCAAATTTTTTAAACTTTCCCAATAAATACATTTGTGTCACAAAATTATCAAAGATTTTCCATATCAATCAACCTTATTAAGATTAATTTTTTAAAAACTACAATGCAATAAATTAATGCTTATACCAGACTTTGCACGGATTATTGTGCAAATGGTCGGTTTGGCAGTTATGCTGATTATCAAATTATCATATTACAAATCAGCATTATTATCTAACATTAAATACAAAAAAATATTGAGCTATAACTGTGACAGTGTTACTCAACAGTGACACAGCGTTCCACGTAAATGTTAACACCTTAACATTTGATTGCACTTGATTGTTGGTAAACAAATAAATAAAACAGAAAAAAACCATAACATTCCACTTATTTTAAATTTGATATAAATTATGAAAAAAGTGAGGGTGCTACTTTAAACAAGACATTCTGTGATTCCTTTGAAAAATAAATAAATTTCCATAAATACAATTAGGAAGGTAACAATATAAATATTTTTTTCTTGGAAGAATATAAAAAAATTTACAAAACAGAAACAATCTATCATGATAGATGATAAATGAAAAAAGAAAATTATTGATGATCACAGTTTAATAATGAAATGTTCAACTATCTCAGATGCACAAAAAAAAAAGAAAGAAATGTAAATGGATGGAAATGAGAAATGATGAATAATCCAATGGTGACAATGTTCAGCTGCAACGAAAGTCCTGGTCCACAGTTTAGATGATTGAAGTGATGAGCCTGGCCTTGAAGTTGACTATCCTCTCGCTAGTCTGGGCGAGACGCTGCAAAAAAACACACACGTACAGTAGGGTATCGAAGAATAATTGTAAGAAGTTATAATAATTACAAGAATGAGGTCTTGGATGAGGGAAGCTACTCCTTTGTTAGCAACGACAAATAATCTTGTCAGAGGTCCAGGTACACCTTCTCCGTAATGTCCTTCCTTGGGTTCTTCAAGTGCCGCATGTCCTTCTCCATGTGATTGTCCACTTCCTGCAACCAGCTGCCAATACCCACATTTTATTGATTCTTGATAATTTTTAACGGGAATGATTATTTATTCAAGGAGAATTCCAATTTTTATGCACTCACTAGAAAATTTTTGATAGTCTAAATGGCATGTCAGCAGCTTTTCTTTCTATTGTTGGGCTTGTTTAACAGAACGTTTTCAATATGTTTCTTATGACTGTAGTAGTTATTTAAATTAAGCAATACTACTTATAAGCAATAATAAGAATATTTTATTCTATTGCCCAAGTATAATATTCATTTTCAACTAAGTTTTTAGGTAAAAATAATAAAAAAAATACATTGAGTTGTGTATTTTCAGTATTCTACAGGAGTCGATTGAAAAATATTTTGAAAAAAATATTTCTTGTATTATTTGCATGCTAAAGATATTTGGCTCACTATAGTACAAGCTGTTTGCTGCATAATTGACAAATATGCTGTTTCTATTGATTTTTTTTAAGAAAAAAAAAGTTGTATTGTGTATTTTCAGTGTGTTCTATAGTAGATGGTTGAAAACTATTTTGAAAAAAAATATTTCTTATATTATTTGTAAGTTAAAGATGTTTTGGCCCGTTACTATAACAACAATGTTTGCACCACAAATGACAAATATGCCATTTCTAATGATTTTTTAAGAAAAAAAAAATTGTATTGCGTATTTTCACTGTATTTATGATGGCATGATTGGTTTTGCCCAACTACAGTATCAATGTTGCAGCATAAATGACAAATCTGGCGTTTTCAGAGTTTGAATTCGGAGAGCAATTTTAGTTTTTCATGTTTGTCATTGAAAAGAAAGTTGTTTACCTCGGTGGTTGCACAACAGCAAATTTATTAATGTGGTCGAATAGGCCAACACTTACGGATTTGAGAAATTAGATATTTCTCTGAATATATTAATCAAAATTCATAACAACTAATTAAAATTGTTTATTAAGTTTTATTCTGTACAATTGTTCGAGAGCAATTATAGTGGAATAATTGTTGAGCTGATCAATGAAAAATGTACAAACTAGATGTAAACTTTTGACTTAAGAACATTTTTGATCATTTTAACACAGTGCCTATTTAACAATGTCAAAACGAAAGAAATTAGTTCGATTTTTCTAAACTAATGTGTCATAAAAAAAAATATCAACATTTTTGAAATGTTATGGGGTCAAGTATTTTAAAAAATGTTAAAACTATGATTACGATTATTCAAGAGATTTGTTCAGGAGAACTGTTGTTCACAACCGTAAATATTCAATCGATATAATATTTATGTATAGATTTAAAATGGGGAGAAAAAAAGATTATTTTGTAAGAAGGATTAGTTAAATCATAGTCTTAAATATTGTTTAAGGATTTTACTGAAAATTATCCTAAGGATTAGTGAGTGCAGAAAATTCGGAACTGCTCCTTTGATTGTGCCATTAACAGACGAAGGTTGCTCATGGGACCACAAAGGTGTATAAATGAATGAACTTTAAGTGTGGGAATGTAGGGCATGGAAACGGGAGGCTTGGAAATAGTTGCAACACTAATTCCAATGATTTTTTTTTTTTTTCGGTGAAACTCAATTGTTATTTCGTTCACACTTGAGTCTTAATATTTACAATGTAACAAGCTTATTAATCACCGTTTGAGAAAATGGGAAATATTGGATAGAAAGGTTTTATATAAATTTAAATTGAATTTTTATTTGACTTTGAATCGCGACATGCAGAATACTTACTTTTGGGCCTATTGTTGTGTTTGGATTTTTTTTTTGTCAATTTCTTTGAATAATTTGATAGTTGATTATTGTCATAATGTCAACAGTCTGTACACACCGTCTTGCTAGAGTCCATAAGGGAGTGGTTAAAACGGCCATGTTTTTAATACAGTCAGTCAAATTGTCAATTTTCACTAAGGAACAATGTCGTAAAAAGCAAAAAAACAACGAAGAAATTACGACAGATATAAACGAGAAGGTTGTTAGCTATTGAAGTGAAAATTAGCAACAATTAATTGAATGCACTTTGTGATAGGCTTGTGTAATTTACTAGGCGTGGCAAAGAGAAAGTGTAAACGGCTCAAATTCGGACACCCGCACAAAAGATCAAAGTTATAATCTAAAATGTTAAAACTTTGAAAAATGTTTATTCTGACCAGTGAGTTTTCGTCTTTTGGCTATGTGTTTTCTAGTTTGCTGACCTTTTCCTTTCAAAACAAGCTGTGAACTTTAAAAAAGCAACTGGTATTTTGCTTTCTGGTCAGAAGAAGGCACTTATCGCGCGATACGGTTCAGAATCGACTGTCTTCTGTGTTCTATTGAAAAAAAATGTTTTGGTAGTTATAAATAAATTGTTGCAAACAGTTACAAAGGCTTTCCATGAATCTCCTTCGGTCTCAGATTAGCGGGTTGACGAGGGTTATGGGATTTATAGATGAAACGGAACATGCAACAGGGTTCGGGATTGGCATTTATGTTCTTTTCAAAAAGTTATAAACCACCACCTTAGAAAATATGTACAATTGAATCTCCATTCTTTTCACTCTTTATGTACAAAATTAAGAATCAAGTGTGGACATTTTTTAAAAATACGTTACACCAATCGTGTCTTTCATGCTTTATGAAAAGTTACAATTACTCTGAAAATAAGAGGAACAAGGATTTTCGGAGGACCAAGGAGAATTTCAGAGGGTGTCGTCAAACCTTCGCAACTATTATGTAACAATTTTTCTTTCTTTATACTTTGAATGTAAAGAGACAAAAATTAACAAGGTTTCTCCCAAGAGTTGTTGCTTATGCTGTAGGCTGTGTGTTTAAAAGATTTTTCACCAGTATCAAATCAAAAGCCCAGAGGGTCAAAAAATCAAAAACTAGGTTTACTCCACCGTTATTATATTTGAGAAAGAAATCGTTTAAACTTATATGAACGATTAGTTCGATTCAATTAAAACGTTGAGTACATCACGTCATGAATACGTTTTCTATTGCAGTAAATTCAAAGAAAATGAATAACAGATTCAGTCAGAAAAAATTATATAAAAGACAAATTCGTTAATAAAAATTTAATCTATTGAAATACAAAGGTTAAATAGTAATTTCTTATAAATTTTTCAACGTTTGTTTTTGCAAGTAAGAAAATCTAATAATAATTAAACTATAAATAGTTCAATAGAACTAAATTCAAAATTTTCTGTTTTTAACTAATAATAATACGCCTAAAACAAAGAATGGATTTCTCTCTAAATTTAAAAGCAATTCTGTTTTTAACCTAAAACGATATGGATCCCCCCTCCGAAATATGCCGCCAAGTACACAATTTGATTTTTAATTTCGTTAAAATTTTAAATTTTGTGAGGTTTTATAGTGGATATTTCGTCAAAAGTGTCTCGAGTTGGCCCAAATTCTCCAACCTACTTGCACCGCTAGGGTAAATAAATACTTACTCAATGAAACAAGGAGAGCTGTCAGGTTTTCTTTGCCTTGAATAATTCTATGTTTTCAATGCTAATTGAGACACTGTTCTCCTTTTTAACGAAGCCCTGAATTCACTAACAGTAAATTTGATACAAGTTGTGAGTGCAGTTGTGAAATTCTCTTCTTTATCCCAAGAAAAAAAAAACACGTTTCTGTTGAATAATTGTAGAAGTTAAAACTATAAAATCCACTTGTAAAGTATGAAATGTCAGTACTTATAATTTATCCGTCACAATTAAATTGCCTATTAAAAATATAGTTACATATTGATGTCTAAAATATAAAAGAAAATTTATTTTTCCGTAACCATCGAAGAGTAAAAGATTAGCATTAGAAAAATGCACGACATATTTATCAATCTATTTCTACTTCAAAAATACAACTCAGAAGAGGTAAAATTTAATAAATCGACCCCCTGTCTATGAAAGATTTTTTTTGTCTGTTTTCAAAATCTCCATTACAGGAAATTTCTTTTTCTTACTGTTTAAGTTGTATTTAGTGCAGCTTTGGATAAGTGCAATTCAAATTAATTTTTAAGTAACTTATCTGGATCTGGTAATCAGTACAAAACTTGCTCTTTTCTCCTCTCTCGTTTCTTGGACGAGAAAAATCGGATGCCGATCCGTTGAAGATCCATAAACGTTACAGCTCGGTGATGCTCGACTCCTGAAGCTCAGCAGTTGATTCTGGGTTATTTGTATGAAATAATTCAACAGAAATTAACAGTATTGGTGAATGAGAAAAAATACCAATTGACAATTCGTATCGAAGGTTGAGAGAGAGATTGGCATTTCTCAACAAATCAGTCATTTTTTTGTTCGTCTCTAAGATCATTGTAATAAATGATGTGTTAGTATGCTTGTGATGTAGAAACACTGGTAATTTTCATTCTTATTAATAAAAATAACATTTATAGCTTTATCTATCACAATCAGGAGATAAAATACACTTTTAAAGATTATTATGTCTTGATCTTCTTATTTTCAACTTTTGTTCTCATTCCATTGAAGCAAATATCTATCCATGACTGAGGATTTATTGCCGGTTGTTTTATTTCAAATAAAGTCTAAAAGGAAAAAATGGTCAATGCAACCTTGGTCGAGTCCCATTTTTATGGTTTGAGAAGGCAAATAAAAAGACTTGGTTGTACGTAATGAATTGAATTTGTAAAAGTGTTTCTGGATTTTGAAACTCCTTTAGTGGAGGATATTGACTGTAAAAAGGGATAGAGCGTTTTTTAGGCCAACTCGATTAAACTTTATTCTAAAATTTTCAACTTGGTCCGTTCATTATTTGGCAAAGTTGGTCAACGAATCGCGCCTGGGCGGATTCCCGTCAAAATTGACTTTGACTCATAGACAGAGTTTTTGATTTAAACTAGCGTGACAAATGTCGAAACCAACCTAGAGCAATTGCATCCTGGGAGAGCCTTTTTTTCGACCAATTTTCAGAATAGTTCCTACCGATCTCGCTGACTGGTAAGTTGGTAGACCGGCGTCATCCGTCCCCGCCAGGACTCTGTACACGGTCCCCGCCATCCTCGCTGCCCTGTCCGCCGACCTCTAAGAACACTGTAAATTATTCTCAAGACCTATTTCACTGAAACCCGGGCCAAAAATTAAAATTTTAAACCATTTCTTTCTTTAAAAAAAACAACTCATTTTTTGGTTTATTTTTTTAAAAAGAACGTTTGATTGTTTAGATCGTGTGCTGTACATCACTATTTATTGTGTTTTTTGTATGTTTTACTTTTAGATTAAATTAAAAATTTGCTTGGTATTATACACAAAATTGTACATTATGTACAAAATGAAAACTGATCAGTAATTAAATCGTTTCTCACCCATTCTAATCTAAAACGATCCGCCTTTCTAATTCTTTTTAAGACGAAAATTTAAATTTAACGTGACCTAATGAAACTGGTATCGTGAGCGGTGACTTTAATGTTAGATAAGAGGGAATGAGTTACGACCGCCCTATTACGAAAGCATAATGATTGAAAATGCACTACAATTTTTGCGCACATATTTGTACTGAAAATGTGTGTTACATCAGTCAAATAAAAATAAAATAGTGTTTCACAGATCAAAACGATTTCTCTTTTCACAAAATACGCGGAAGTTTTGAAAATTGATTTTTCCTCGAGCTACATAATTATTTTTCTATTTAGAGCAAATAATTAATACAAGTCAAATACTTGATTTTTGACATTTTACTTATTGGCTTTTAAAATCGTTACTCATTCAAATTTTGTATTTAAGGCTCCCCAAAAAAAAAATGGTCCAGTTAAGGATCGTTTTTTTCACCCGCCCTATCAAATATGGTACCATTGGCATGTACGTTTTACTTTACATCCATCATTATATCATATTACATAAAATTGACTCATTTTGCATTTAGGTATTATATATTTTTATAAACAGTACGTAACAAGTCATTGAAACGAAAGAAATCTCTGAACCTGTTCCAAGAACTAGTCTTCGATCTTGCATAAGACCCGAAGGAACCTTTTTCCCTTTTTTTTTTTTTCTTAACCTCCTATACACCAAAACCCTCGTGGCGAAAGATCAGAGTCGGTCTCGAAATGGGTGAAGGTGAAGACGAAATGTCTTAAATTAGTCGAATAATGAGTTAGGGAAATGTTAAAATAAGGAGATGAAATCGCCCATTTTAACACTTTATCCAGAAAGGATTCGATTTGAAAGGAGGCTTTCAAGGCACTCTTGTGTTAACAATCACTTTTTTTTCCAACGGAACCAGGTATAAATAAGCATTGCAAAACTCAAAACGACTTTTGTCGCAAATAAAAATTAATATAATTCAATTGATTTTATGATAAATCAAATAAAAAGTGTGTATTTACAGGCAGGAACCATTATAAATCCTACCCAAAAACAAAATTACTTCATCTTTGTGGTAGGTGGTTATATAAACATTTCATCAGAATTCACCGTCTTCATAAAATGTCTCTGAGATTAATATAAAGGAACGTTTGCCTTAAGCAAGGAGATTTCGTCTCAGAAAGTCTTCTCCGCCCGGGCTTAAATTAAGCAACGGGGCTGTTGTTCGGGTGTGGATGGACAAAATGCACCTGTACAAGTCAGGTCGATGTGATAAGGACGTGTTAGTGTTGACAGATTGTGCGGGATAAAAAGCCGTCATGCTTCGTGAATTAGTCGTTCAAGCCTCATCTCACATACAAAGAACTCACCTTGTCTTCAAGGGGGGGTCTCTACTTAACTACATTACGTCTTGGAAATCAGTCATCTCGTACGTTATGTCAAATCTCGTCCGTCACTATTCAACGGTAATAAATAATGTCCCGTCTCTTCGATTCTGCAAAACAACTGTAATAAAATCAACAACAAATTCCAACAAAAAGAAATGATCAATTCAACCCGTCGACTTACCCTCTGTTAAATTTAATCAAACCGAACATGTTTATAAATTTAACGTGAAAAATAGAGTTTGATTTTTTTTGTCTAACATACTGTTATCCGACAGTGTTTTTGTCTCTTACAATGGGACATTCCCTGTGTTCAGTTAATAAAGGAAAGGGGCTATCGTTGGGACCGAGGGATGGGGTTTGACTCACCCTGATGACATCAAAGAGGAAGTTTCCGGAACCCCCACCTGAACCCCCAGCGTCTTTGCCATCAGAAACACCAAGGTTAAAGTTCAGGAATCTCTTGTTTCTCGGGTCTTCTTCTTCTTCTTCTTCGTCTTCCAACTCTGAGCTCTCTCCTTCGTTATCATCAGCTACTTCATTATCTGCAATTAAAAGTATACGATATGAAAGCTTTATAACAGTAGCCTAAATAGAATTAAATATAAAAACTTCACTGATTTTTATATATTCTCTATTCCCAACCAATTAAAGGTAAATGACAAAAAAAAGTCCATTATTTATGAAAATTTTCAGTCAGAAACTTATACACAGCAGTCGATCAAATGCTAACACTTGATTTATCTCTTGCTCACATTGTTTCATAAAACTGAATAGCAAGTCTGATTTTTGGTACACTGATGGATCAAAAATGGAATAGATGTAGGGGTAAAAGGCCCTAACTATACTCTAGCAAAGCCCTTTGGACTAATCCCAGCAATTTTCCAAGCTGAGTTCCTCGCACAGAAGTTAATAAAGAAATATATGAAGAGAGTATAGATTTCAGACGGCCAGGCAGCCATAAAATACGTTTTCAATTCCAGACTTGTCTAGGAGTGCCTAAATTGCCTAATGGCTCTAGAAAAACTCAAGATTATCTTAAGGCATAGAAGGAAATGAACAGGCTGACCAATCAGCCAAAAAAGTGACAGCCATCTAATCCATGGGACCACAACCACTACAGGGTGGACCGGAATGGGTGATAAAGTTGGAACTTGAAAAATGACTTGAGAACGATCCTCAAGTACTGGACAAAAGCAAAGTGAAACAAGCTAAGAGATTCATAAATCTCTCAAAAAGGAAGGGGAAGGAACTCCTATCTTTCAGCAGGCAGGATTTGAGAAAAATTATAGACCTCTATACCGGCCATTCCCCTCTTAACTATCACATAAAGAAGAGCAAAGCATAGAGGAGGAAATAGAGACATCGGCGCATATCCTTTGTGAATGCTTCACTTTCACATCACCCAACATGGTAGAGCCACTTCGGTTAGGGAATTTTCACAAAAAATATATGCGCAAAGAGGCACCGAGGAAAGTGCTTAGATGATGGGTAGGAAATAAATTTTTTTTTATATTGGGCCTATTGTACCCATTATCTTATTAAGAAGTTCTACAAAATCAGGATGGACACCATCAAACAATTGAAAATGCTTATAAGAAAATTTCTTATAGGCTTATAGGAAAAAGTGCGTTTTCCAAGGTATGGATATAGTTTATAGAGGTACGAGGATACTAATACTATATACTTAGGTTACGTTTCTTTTATAGGTCGCAGTGCTCCTCGCAGAGAGAACAGATACAGACGGATGCCATGTTACGAGTGTCCATTACTCCAAAATACAACTTTACTAAAACGTGCAAAGTACTGATACCAGGACGGGAAAAATAAGCCAACGGAACACCGCTAAAGGCAAATTCCTACTGATACACTGACGGCTCCAAAACTGACAAGGGCTCTGGCGTTGGAATGGGTCCGTGGTCATTGCAGCTTAGAAGAAATGAAAAGATTGATATGTTGGCCAAAGAGGGAGCCAACAAGGATTTTCTATGTCTCGATCCATATTGAGGCCTAGCAACTTGTCACAGAAGAGAACACATCTTAAAATGCATTGTTAATGAGTCCATAGTTTGGTGGAATGGACGCGAAGAGATTCATAAAAGGCCATCCGTAAAACTTACAACGAAATTTTGGTTGGACTCCTGACAGGGCACTGGCACTTAAGAAGGCACCTCACCGGAGGAGAAGACCGCGGAACTCATTTATGTTTTTGTGAAGATCTAGGTGTAGATATTGCAACTAGGAGAAGAAAAGCCGCAAGCGTGATACTACACTAAGGAGCCGCTGGCAAGTCTATGGAGGTTAAATCGATCTACTCAGGTCGAGGTGCGGAAGGTCTTGCGGCCACGTCTTTTAACCCTATCCGTATCCGTAGGTCGCAGTGGAGGAAAGGGTTTTTAAAATCTCAAACCTTAAAAATAGGCTGATATTTTATTAACGAAAGGGACAATTTCATCTGTTGAGCATCTTCAGGTTTTAATATTGATTTTTAATTAACGATTTTCTCTCAGGCCGTTAGTAAAATTTGGCGTACCTCCGGTAGCATCGGTGTCTTGTTCCTCAGAACTGGCCTCTTCTTCGGCAGCGGCTTCTGCCTCCCTTTTCACTCGGACCTCCTTCACCTGAGATTCGGCGACGGCATTTTCCTGTTTCATATAATACAAGGGTTAAGCGGATGCATTGGAAATATTAACAAAAATAAAATCATCAGACCTATTATTTGAATGCAAGATTGAATCGAAACCATAAAATAAAATGGAGTAAAAACTACCTACGTTCATTGGCTCTACATACATGATTTTGTTTTAATAAAAATCCATTAACCAATAGTGCTAATAAACTAACATTATTTAATTGATAAATAATTATTATGATATTATTACATTCTTGCCAAAAATTAAAAATTAGGGTTTCTAAGTCCAAACTCTAATTATCGTAAATAAGCTGACTCTCTATTTTGCCTTTATACTGTATAATTGTTTTATTTGTAGATTCAACATTTTTAATGTTGGATGGTTATTTTAATAAAAAACATATTGTTTTTTTGGTAGTCTTGTTTGAGCTTTAAAACGAAAAAATTAATGGCACATTTCCGTGTAGCACAGTTACATAATTGTAGTCACTTTAAACAATAGAACCATGTCAATATTGACATCCACTGTATTGATTTTTCCAATAAAGTGGAGTGGTCGTCCGAAATTGACTTCTTGAGAAACCGGCTCAACTTAGAAACCCTTTTTATTTACAAAACCAATACTAAAGTACACAATTCGAAATCTTTATGTTAAAAAAGCCCCTCATGCCAGCCCCATGCTCTGTACAAAGAGATGTAAAAAAAACGCATATTTAGATACATAAACCATCCCATAATTACAATTTATTAAAAAAAGGTAGGAAACATAAAGCCTAGGGCTAGCATTAAGTAAAAAGTCAACGTCCTTTCCACTTTATTTCAAAATAAACGAGACGTGGACTTTTCATACGGAGCTTAGTAGCGAATATACAACAAAAAAGACAAGCTAATAATTAACAGGGTATAAATTTTATATAAAAGTAAAATCTCGTGCAAATATGAATATACAAACGAACATACAAAAAAAAAATGAAAATAGAAAAAACATGCTTCAAACAGATTGAACATTCATTTTGACATATGAATTAGAATGCTCTTGAAAACATTCATGCAAAAATAAGAAAAAAAACCGAAGAAAATGTTAATATTGTATGAGAAAAAAATTAGAATTTAAAAAATGTGATAACAATAAAAAATTGTTTTGAAAATTCAAGAATATGAAAGAGAGCTGTTATTATGTGCTATATTAGTCGTATCATTTCGAAAACACGGTTATTATGAACTTACAAATGAAATGACTTAAAAAATAATTTATTCATCGTTTTCCCACGTCGTATTTACATTGAAAAAATTTATTTACAATTTTTTTTGTTACAATCTTTCGGCTGGGAAAACGACGAGATGGAACGATTAATTGAAAAATGATGATGATAAACGATGTCCGGTGATGCAGTTTGATGACAGAATATCTCATAGCGTCAGATTATATGAGATAGGCTAGCACTTGACCCATGCACATTGTTAGTATTATGAAAACAACAAACATAACGCAGAAAACATGAGCAATGAAGGTTAATCCACTCGTTTTGGACTTTTGACTGTTTTATTTATTCGATTAATTGAGGAAACAGGAATAAAATTGTGTCAATGAAGAAATAAGAGAGATCACATTATGCAATTCGGCCGGATAAACTTGAAGAACTTTCTCAAGTTGAATCTATTAAATCGTGCTTAATTCTTGATTAAAACAGCAATCGCATTTAAGCATTAAATCAAAATCAAAATAATGGAGAATCAAATAGTTTTTATTTTAGTTCAAAATTAATATTTAGAAATTTAAGTTTAAAAATGAAACAACTTAAGTTTATTATGGGGTTTTTTTATGTTCCAGGCTAAATATGCAAAATTTTGATTGTGGTTAATAGAATAAATATTTTATCTTTTAAAACAATCTATAAAATTGTGGATGAAAGACTTTTTTTTAAGGTAAGATCAAAAAGATGGCGATTTATTATTTGATCAGAAACCCGGTGTTTATTTAAATTGGATTATTTTGTAATTGGAAGGGAAGAGGAGTAACGAGTGAACCGAAAGATGAAAATGATAGAGATTTGCCATCGAATCATGTCATTTTTTTGGGTCAAGTTACCCCATCTGGGCTGACGGTGGTCGTCGCATCCGACCCGGCTTCCGTGTTGTCCGTCGAGTCTTCGTCTTCTTCATCTTCATCGACTAGATCCGGCGGATAGGTCGGGAGGGTGATGGATATCCTCCGATCGTCATCCGAGTCACCGCCGCCCCCACCGCCTCCGCCTCCGCCTCCGTTTAGTACTAGCCTTCCGACGATCCGGAATATGATCCTTGTTAACTGTTGTATTTTCTGGTCGATCATCTATGAAACATCTGACTCTTACCTTTCATCGTTCTTCCCATAAATAAAATCAGTGACACGGAAAATTTTGTCTTGGGTTAAAAGAGAGTAAAGTCGGTGATTTTGAGCCGATTCAAAGACCCTATGGGCCTCATGATGTTGGCTTCGAAGCAAGAAAGAAAAGGACGAAAAACCGCCACTTTCTTTGCTTTTAAAGAAGTGAAACATATTCCATATTGAAAAATGCCCTTTCTATGATATCAAAAATGAAATCCGTTTATAATTTATAGTCAACTTTACACCAATTAGATATAAAACCAAATTTAATTTAATTTGATTTTTAAGTTAATCATTTCACGTAAATTAATGCCGAAACATGGTCATAAATCTAATTGTGCAATAAAATATTAGAAGTACCACAGTGTAAGGAAAAGGATTAAAAAACGATCATGGTCATCGTTCTCATTCAACCACTCTTCAGCCTTAATAGGAAAAATTCTCTATAATTATAATTAATAATTTGATCAGTTTGATTAACTCATCAACAATTCTTGATTTGTATACAGGAACCGTTACTTTCATCAATGAAAGAATCCTTGTGCGCCTTTTTAAACATAGTACATTCGACAAATGTAAGTACATTTATTAATTTTTTTTTCAAACGTATGCAAAAAAATTTGAAATTTAGAGAAAAAATTAGTTAATTTTAGGCAAGTTTGCTTGAAAAAAAAGAAAGTAAAGGTTGAGCCAACATTATGAGACCCGCAAGTCGCAAGAATCGGATAGTCTCGTTTCAGACCGTGCATTAAAAACGTGCAAATGGAAAAATATAACGATTAAATTCCACTAATTTCATCCAATTTAAAATTGGTAGATTATTTTTTGTTTAAAGTTCTCTTTTTTTGTATAATTTTATAACTGACTGAATTACACGGTACTGAAAACTATAAGGAGACAATTTTTTTTCTGCGTAATAAAAGGTTCACATTAATTTTCATGATAGCGCAAAATATAACTATTTGCTGATTATAACGTTTTTACTACGTTATGAAGGATTTAAAGATAGTCAAAAACCTTTGAAAAGTTAGGGAACAGATCTCTGAGTATCCCGATAGTTCTTCGTTCCCTGTGCAGGACTCCTGAGCTCGTCGAAGATTTTTCTCCATTCTGAAAGAAAACCAAAATTGCCAAATTTAAACAAAACCATTTCTTTTTATATTATAATTAAATAACCTCGTATCATTTTTTTATATATGTATATATTAAAATCATATAAGTCCGACGATATATTTAAATTGTTCTGATGGAAACATCTTAGATTTCTAGACAAAAAAGTCCTTGTCCTCCAAAAAAAACTTATAGTAACCTTCAATAAGACAGTAAAACAATGCTCGGTGTGAAATTAGAAAGTCTTTTATTTTTCAAGCACATCTTGACAATGTCGAGGAGGATGGAGCTTGATAATATCAAAAGTTGACAACGTACCATAACATAATTAAGCATAATTGTTTAAATTAATTATAAATACTTTAGCGTACTTATTATTTATATTTTATGTATTACACGGCCACATTTTTAAATTACACCCTTGATATATAATTAAATTTAAATTGTATACTATTAACTAAAAATGGACAATTATATTAAAAATGAGCAATGTTGAATGAAAAAAAATTGTTTTTCCTACGTTATTATTTTTAATAAAATTAGAACTATATTGATAAAAATATTATTTTTGTTTTTATGGAGAATTTTTATTTGTTTTTCTTTTAATGCGCACTAAACTTGTTAATAATCTAAGACAAATGTTTTTTAAGAGAATTTTACGTTTTTGCATCTATTTAGTTTTAAGAGAAAATGTGAACTTTCATCTTTTCCAGTTTAAATCGTCAATTACCGAAGTGAAACGAATCAAATGACTTTCACAATTGTACACATGTTGTTCGCCAGTGCTGGAAATCTTATTGAATCCTCCAGTAAAATCTGCGGTGCAAACAAACATATCGAAAAGAAAAAAAATCTAATTATGTTAGTCCCTCAGGTTTCAACTTATTGCTGCGAACTTGACTCAATTGGTTCATGATCGAATCGTGGGAAAGATCGGCTTTGCGTGGGGCCAATTTAGAAAACACCGTGAAAAGTTTTTCTCGTCATTTTTGTTGTTGTTTTACTATAGCCGACAGCTTTGCTCTTTTCCAGTTCTCGTTTGCCCACACGAAGTTCTGCAACAGTTTCCAAGTACTTGAAAGTACCGCCTACAAGAGTTGCCTAACACCAGCGAGTGAAATCTCGGGCGAATGGAGAGAAAGGCTCTGAAAAGCTTCTGGCTTCATAATTAAACGGGTATCGCTATTTTGAACCTGAGAAAAGTCTTTGGTGAGAAAAACCAACGACTTAAATGAACTGGGAAAGTATTGAACTGATGATAATAATAAATGAACAATATTTTTGTTCTCTTACCAAGAGTTAGTGGTTGATATAATGGGTTTGTCCTCGATGATTATAGATCCCTATTTTTTAATCTGGTTTTACAGCTTTTCTAGGTAATAACTTCAGAGACAAGACCTTCAAAACTTCCTCACCCCAAAGAATTTATTAATTCACTTCTTTATTTATTAAAAAAAAATGAAATCTTGAAATTTTAAGTGACAATATTATTACGTCTGTCTTGTATATTATGAACAAAATCGTGATGAGAAAGAGAAGTTAAGTGATCATTTCAGGATATTAATATCATCATTTAAAACACCAAAAGTGATATTGAATAACAAGAACCTAGACAGTTAAAGAAAGTATTTTTTTTTCTTTTTGCCTTTAAAGATTCATATGTGGGATAGTAAATATCATTTGAAAGTCAACCTGGATCTAGGGGAAGGAAAGGGAGAGCGGTGAATGTCTGGGCTGCATCAATTTAACGGTTTATCCTCTCATCGGCGGAAATTGCAAATTGGCAGATAATCCACCTTTTTTTGTTGTTAGACCGCCAGGATGAGAATTTCAACCGTCGAAAGTAGAAGCTTTATAGACTTTGGTATTAATTTTCATAATTCTCGAGAAAAAAAATTTACATACAATTAAACGGTCGGGTGAAAGCCGGCGTTAAAGTAATTACGTATTCCGAGATAACTGGGATTGATTGGTTTGTTTAAAAGAGTTTGGAAATGTTGGGACCTTGCGCTGGCACGTGCGGAAAGTATAAATGAACGAGGGGGCCGCGTTTGAGACAAAATGAACATACACGCAGACAGAAAAAAGAGAAAATACGTCCAATTATTCCTACACGAAAGCATATTCGATAAAAGTCTACCAAAATTTAAAATTAAATTGAAAATGATTATTCGGAGATCGTGAGATGCGGTCTGGTGTGACGTTGGTTTTAGAAATACATTTTCTTTATCGTGCCAACGTTTCGATCTTTATTGAGATCATCTTCAGGGATCATCATCTGGGATTTATAAAAATTGTTTAAATTTTACAAATATATGTAGGATGTGGAAAAAAATGAATTTTGTACAATGCTAGAAAATTTTTTTCCCGATAGCATTGTATAAATTATTATTTTTTTTAGTGTTGTATAAATTCATTTTTTTAATGTAAAATTTTCTAACATTGTATAAATTTGTGTGATGATTAGTGACCGTTTGTCGATGATTATTCAGAAATAGTGAGATGCGTTCTGGTGTAATGTAGGTTTCAGAAAAACATTTTCTTTATCGTGCCAACGTTTCGATCTTTATTGAGATCATCTTCAGGGCCTGGGATTTATAAAAATTGTTTGAATTTTACAAATATATGTAGGATGTGGAAAAAAATGTTATACAATGCAAGAAAAATTTTTTTTTAGCCAATATTTATTTGCATTGTATAAATTCACTTTTTCCACATCCTACATGTTTTTGTTAAATTTAAACAATGTTTGTAAATCCCAGGCCCTGAAGATGATCTCAATAAAGATCGAAACGTTGGCACGATAAAGAAAATGTTTTTCTGAAACTTACATCACATCAGACCGCATCTCACGATTTCTGAATAATCATTGTATACATTGATTTTTGAAAATCTAAAATCTAAAGGCCCTGAAGATGTGAATAAAAATCGAAACGTTGGCATAATAAAGAAAATGTTTTTCTAAAACCAACGTCACATCAGACAGCATCTCACGATTTCTGAATAATCATTGTATACATTGATTTTTTAAAATCTAAAATCTAAAGGCCATGAAGATGTCAATAAAAGTCGAACGTTGGCATGATAAAGAAAATGTTTTTCTAAAACCTACGTCACACCAGACCGCATCTCACGATCTCCGAATAATCATTGACTTGAACGGTCACACTAAACACCACACATTAAATTAAAAAAATAAATTTATAAGAAATATATTATATGTAATCCTATCTATTAGAAAACGAAAGAAGGAAATTATATTGAAAACAACTTCAGACCCTATCTTTTTACCAGATAATTATAAATTAAAATTGTTTAATGCAGAAGTTACGTGAAAATTAATACAATTTGTTCATTTTAAAACGCCGTGTAAATTTCGCAAGATGTTATTCAACGGACCCGTTTGACCGTAAGAGAAGGGTTCAACCTGAAGACCAAACAGGAAATTATGCGCTTTCTGCAATAAAGTTCAGAATAATACTTAGACTTGATGATATAGAACGTCTCTGGGTTTCCCTCCACCTATAGTGTGAAACAATCGCTCTTTTTAAAATAAATGCGATTAAAAAATTTTGATCTTTGGGTTTTTAAATTTTTCCTGGTATTAACGTCCCCCCCCCAAAAAAAAAAAAAAAATAGATTTCACAATGGTTTCTATATAAGAATGTCCCAGTAGAAAAGTCCTTATTTAGATTTAAGTACTAGAAGGCCATTCACATAAAACCTCTTTAATAGAAAATAAATATACAGCCTTGAAAAATATAAAAAAATTGATACTTATCAACTGAATTTCAAATTCGTGTCAAAAGTTACAGGAAAGGAAACAGTAATCCGACACTGCTGACACTATGTCTACTGATAACTAATCTAAAACCCCTTCCCTTCCTACAAGTTTATTATTGTAATTTTAATCACTCTCTGCTGTAAGCCCCGTCTGAACAGTTGTAGCTCTTACAATAAAATTCTTTTTAAAAAGTAATTTTTATTTGGAGTCCATTTAATTAAAGACGTGGTGATTTATTGCACTGTCAACAATAATGGGCATTTGTCCTATTTTGAACATTATTGCCGTTTAATAACACATGGCCTGCGGAGGCTGGGTCTAGAAGTGAACAGGTCATACCAGGTTGCGCATAGGTCATACCAAGATAGCACATGCACACCTTCTAATGGTGGTCAGACCACGTAGTGTAGAGAGCTTATCACGGTAGATCACATAATAACATCGCGAAGAATTTAGTCAGCATAGAATACGATTTCCCGAATGTCCTTTGAGGCACGGCAGCAGGCACAGGTTGCTGTTCCATTATCTCAGGGCCATAAATATTTTAATTATATATAGGATCTTTGTGTCTTCCTGTATGTGATATATGTATTTATTGGAACGAATGTATTTAATTGTGTGAATGGACGGGTTTATCCCTCAATTACCCCGCGGAATATCGAATACTCTGGGATAGTGTGAATGATTTATGCTGTTTATATGTAATTTATTAGCCTGAATAGAAAGGTTTATTCCCAATTACCCCGAGGAATATCGTGTACTCCTGGATAGTGTGACTATCATGTTTTTATCTTGTTTTGGTGTACTTGTGTTTGTTATTTGTCTTATTTTATCCATTTTATTGACGAGGCCCTGTGGTACAAAGAGGCTAGCAATTGGGCAAAGAAAATAGAGAATTGGTTACCGTTGTAACATAAAAATATATAAAATATCATAACTCAGGTGGAGAAACAGAAAGAGAAATTAATGATTACAGGATTAAAACGCGAAAAAGATAAGAAAAGAAATGTAAAGCTAAGGAAGAGAGGGCTGGCGATGACCAATTTAGTTTGCCGGCCCTAAAACTTATATATAAATATGATTTGTGATATTGGAAGGAAATTTTTTTTTCAAAAATTACAATTCTTAATGTTTACTTTAAAAGGTTATGAAAATATAATTTTTTTTACATAAAAGAGAAGACTTTTAACTTGGATAGACAAATTTTTGCATAACT